CTTCTCGGGGGATAAGTCGACCGTTGCGAGGTCTTGGCTGTTCACCGGCTGCGCAAATGCGGTGGCGATGATGTGTTTGCCCGGGAGCGCAGCAGACGCGTGGCGGGTGGGCGTGCCAGGCCTTGGCGAAGGGCGGAAACGCCTCAGGGCGTGGCTCGCTGTCCTTGGTGATCCGTCTACGAGCGAGGAGCTTCGGCGCGCTGCCCTTTGCTTGAAATTGACGCGGCACGCCTTGAACATCGCGGCCACAAAGGAGTTGTCCTCTCATCCAGGTTGCTCCGTCATCGTTTTCTTGTCCAAGGGCGTCGCGCAAGAGCGCGTGGCCGACCATCTTCGCAGATTGCAGGCTGGCTGGCAGACGACGTGGACTTGGATTGGGACGACGCCGCGCGCTTCCACTTAGGGGCCGCTGTGCACATATTTTCTCGGTTCTCACAGCGCAGGGCTTACTCCACTAATTTATGGAAATGCACCGCTCAGTGGAGCCCTTCTTGGTGCGCCCAGGCGACCCAGAAGATGTAGGAACGCCCGGGCGAGCAGCGTGGTTTTGGGGTTACGCTGCCATTGAAGCAGGAAGCGCTGCGGCGCGGCGGGGTCGCAGCTGGTCTCAATTTCCCGATGCAGTGCGCTCGGCAGGGCGAGATCGCGGCCATGCTGAGCGCGCTGCTCGTGCACTCGCTCGGCGTCGAACGCGAGCGTGCCCGGGGCCAGGAGAGCGAATCCGCAAAGGTTCTCAGCTGCTCTTCTGCCAATCGGAGTGCTATCTTGCAGAGGTACCGCCTGCGGCGCGGGCTGGCCATCTCCTCCGCAGTGAAAGCCAGGAATTCTGCGTTGAAGGAACGCTTCTTCAGGATGTGGTCACTGGCGAGGAGGGGGGTGCCAGAATTCTTCAAGCGGCGCCGGGGGCGCCTGCACTGGGGGCGCCCCCTGGCTCCTCGGAAGCAGGCTGCACTGGTCCAGGTCGGAGACGCTGGTCGTCTTGCCGCTCGCGTGGGCGAGCATGGCGAGCGGCTCAAGGACGCGACCCTCCTTCGTTCTCTTCCTCAGAAGGAAGAGAACGAGGGGGGTCGCATCCCAAGAGGAGACTGCGCAAGTGCGACAGCGGGCGCGCGCGGCGCTGGCTGGCCCCCTGGGGCCCCTGCCATGGTTGAGCGCTGAATGGCTCGAGTGGATCGGGGAGAACAGGGATTACTTCCACGAGCAGCTTCGTTCCGCATCATCTTATCGTCGCAAATGTGGCCGCAGGATCACTCCGCCCGCGGGCGTTTCGCCGAAGGCTCCGAGACTTTATGTCCGTCTCGCCCGCGGGCGCACTCCCGATTGGCAGTTGACAATTGAACAGGCTGGAACGGGTGTCTTCGCGATTGAGTCTCGGGGTCGCGCGACGGCCGCGTTCGCCAGCGCGCGTTCTTGGCGGTGCTGGGCAATCCCGTTGGACAGCGACGAGCAGGGGAGGCTGAGATGGTCATCGTCTGTTCCACTGGAAAAGCGCTGCCGACCTCAGGCCGCAGCGTGCTGTCCACGACGACCATGCCGTCGCTCCCCACCTTGACGTCCAGTACATGTCAGCTGATGGCGGCGGCGTGACATGGGGGGTTCGCGGGGCATGCGTCGCGAAGGCGGTGCGCCGCCCGCGCTCCGCCGACGCAGGCGGAGAAGACGCCTGCATGGCGGCGGGGGCAGACTATCTCAAGCTTCCGGTTTTCCCGCCGCCCTCTCCTGAAGTGCCCGCAACGTTCATTTTGTCCGAACATCCAGGTTCGGGGTTTTCTGGCCTCCCAGGGGCGCCGTCGTGGCTGCGGCTGGGCGCGGTTCAAAGAACATGCGCGCTGCTCCGTGCCCGCAGCCAGGGGCGCTGCGCCGGCCCCGCCGCCCTGGGCGTCTCGCCGCGGCCCTCGCTGCGTGAGCGACCTCGCCCCCCCCCCCCCCCCCCCTTCCGCGACTGCCTCTCCCTCCCCCCCTCCATCCTGCATCTGGGCGATTCGCGGCGTCGTCTCCTGGCTTGCTGGGCGCTCGCGCGGACTGCCCCAGCGCGCTGCGACGGACAGAGAGCGCGCGGGCTTCTGGGTGCGCGGCTCGTCTGCGACGGCGGACTTCTGGCTCCAGGAACAAGTCGACGCGCGGTCCGAGGACGGCGCGGGCGGCGCAGGGAAATGGGGGGGCACCCCGAGGGGGGCGAGGGCGACGAGCCCGTGAGCACGGACGAGGCCGGGCGCGTCGAGCGGCTCCCGCGGGGCGCTCGCGTGGTGCGCGCGGGCCCGTCTATTGCATCAAGGACCATCCGGAGCACGACGACGCGAAGGCTCTGCTCCACAAGCGTCTGTGCGTCGACGCGGAGCTCGGCGCCAAGACAATGTCCAAGACCCTCAAGGCGGTTGGCGGACAGGGCGGGTCTCAACGTCGTCTAACCGATTCCCATCCCCACCGGCGCAGGCTGGGCCCCGCTGGCCGACTTACCCCCCTTAGATGAGGATCTAGGCCGTATTCTTCTTTTAGAGGGCGCGCGGCCCCCCGCGGGCGGCCATTGCATCCTTGCCGCGTCGCGCCCGTGGGAAGACCTTCATGGCCTGAGCGTGTTTCTCCTCCTCCTCGTCCTCCTCTTCTTCCCTCTCCCAGTGGAGCCCGCTGGCTGTTGCTCTGCGCGGGGGGGGGGCGCGATTCGTCCGCCCCAGCCGGCCGAGGCAAGCAGCCGGCCGAAGGCGGTCAATTTCGATATTGGACGCGCCGGCCTATCCTCGGGTTTACGCCGTCAACGCGCCTGGCAAGTTCTAAGCGTGGGGGATTTTCTGGAATTCGCCGGCCCAACGGGCCAGGGCGTGTTAAGATCTCCGGTACCTGGTTAACAGTATTTCTAGTTCGCGCGCGCGGGGCGGCCCCTGGGGGTCCCCGGGCGAAAAGTACCCCGGCAAGGTCCCGGCAAGTCCCCGGCAAGGTCGGGTCAGAGATGCCGGAGTTCTGTTTCGGAGTCCAAGAGGGCTCCAGATCGGTCCAAGAGGGCCCCGAGAAGCTTTCTAGACGGTCCAAGAGAGGCCCGAGACGGCCAAAGATCGCCCGAAGACGCCCCAGATGGCCCCAAGACAGCCCAAGAGGCCTCCAAGACGCTCCAAGGGCCTTCCAAGAGGCCTCCGAAGAGGGCCCCAAGTTGCCAAAATCGTTGATTTTCATTTGTTTTTTCTATGTTTTTTTGCGTTCTGGCCTTTTCGCTTCCGGACGCTCCAAGAGGGCCCAAGAGGCCTTCAAGACTGCTCCAAGACGGCCCACGAGGCTCCCAAGACGGCCCCGGAGCGGCCCAAGAGCGCCCCCCAGACGGCCCAAGTGCTGCCCAAGGCGGACCAAGAGGCCCCAAGACGGGCCCAAGAGGGGCTCAAGAAGGGAACCGAGAACTGAAAAATCGAGCCCTCCGCCCCAGAAGGCGCCCAGGACCCCGAAAGAGGCCCCAAGAGACTCTCCAAGACACCCCCAAGACGCCCCAATAAGCTCCCGTGAGGCCCCAAGAGGACCAACAACGTCAGGCCCCAGGCCCCAAGAGGACCAACAAATACCGCCAAGAGCCCGCCGAAAGCCCCCCAAGAGACCGTCACGAGAGCTCAGGAGGCCCCCTGGAGGCCTCCCGAGTTCTCCAAGAGGCCTAAAAAGAGGCGCCAAGAGGCCCCAAACGGCCCCACCGAAGCTCCAAGAGGCCACGAACGCGCAAGCAAACGCCTGCGATGGCACAATACGGGCCGGCGGAATGAGCGAAGCGATTCATAATTTGTGCGATTGTTATCATCCGTAAATATATACTTTTAAAGTTACGTGCATGTATATATCTATATATATACACATATATATACACACATAGAAACATGCATATATGTGTATATATACATATGTTCAATCTAATTCCTGGTGCTTCGCGCATCCTCACCAACCCGTCCAAAAACGACACCCAGGAAAGTGGTCTCTCATATTCTTCGGGGCCCTCACGGGGCGCTTTCGGGAGCCTCAGGGGCCATCTTGGGGCCACTTTGAAGAGATCGATCGAAAGACCGGATTGGCCATGGGGCATCCTGGAGCATTGTAGGCACCGCGTGGAGCCATACTGGAGGTCACCTCGGGCTCTGTGGGGCCATCCTCGAGCCATTCTGGGCCGTCCAGGACGCCGCAACGCTTCGCGACGCCCCCCCGCCCAGGTCCAGGGGAGGGGGCGCGGCAAGGGTTTAACCGCCCCCTCCGATGGGAGAAGAGGGAACAATTGGAAGAGAAACCGCTCTAGACCACGTACGCCCAGAGGGCTGGTGGGCCTCGCTGAAGTGAGTTGCGCCCACGGTCCCGAGGCCGCGCGCGACGGCGACGGCCCGGCCCGCGCGCGGACCCATTTGGCTCTGAGGGCATGGGTGCTGTGGAGGACGAACGGGTGGGAGGACCGCGCGGTGCGTCGGAAAAGGTGGTGGGCCAGTGAACGTGACCGTCTTCGCGACGATGTTCGCGCCCTCGCCGCTCCTTGGGGCGGCGCGGGGAGCGCCGCCGCAGATGCTGGGCTGCGGGAGTGGTGCCCCGAAGCGATCGCGCAGGTGGTCGCCAAGCTAATGTCCAGATTCTCATCAGGCTTTCCTGATGCAGCGTTCATCCCTTGTCGGCCATGGAAGTGAAAATTATGCAGCATGGTGGGTCATGGGCGGCGATGGGCATCGGCGGCGGCGATGGGCGGCAGTGCGAGGTAAAAGCTCTGAGGGCACAATGCGCCCATTGGCGATGGCAGGTGGTAGTGGGCGGTGATGGACGGTAAAAAGGTAGTAGACGGTAATAATTCTTACCGTCTATTACCGTCTATTGCCGTCCATTGCCGTCCACTGCCGCTGCCCATTCCCAAGGCTTGCCGCGCGTTGCCGCCCGCGCGCCGCCCCCTACTGCTCACTCAGCCTCTCTGCGCGGTGCGCGTATTTATCGGGCTCGTAGCCGGCCCGCCGAGTGAGCCTGGGCTCGAGGCGCTGGCCCTGTGCGTTTTGCTTGCCTGCCTGGTTGGGCCCGCGCTCCCCCCAATGCCGCCCGCGCTCGGGAAGGACTCGCCCGGGGGCAAGAGCGCGCGCGAGGAGGCCGTGGATGCGTTGCAGGCTTGGGCCCAGAAGGGGGAGGACGTGGCAGTCGACGAAGATCACGTACAGAGGCATCTCGCGCTGAAGCGGGCTTCCTTGCCAGGCCAGAGGGTCACCTGCGGGAAGGTCGAGGAAGCCAAGCAGACGTCCTTGAAGACAACGGAGACGACAATGGCCGTCTACGTCGCACCGAAATCCAGCATCCCAAGCATCCCCACGTGGGCCACGGCGGTGAAACCGTACATCATCCCATGGCAAAAGGTGGAGGATCTCCCGGACATGTTCGACGAGTCGGAGTGCCGCCTTCGGTCTCGCGCGGGGGTCTCGGGTGCTCCTTTAGATTTTCAGGTTTCTCGTGGCCCGACAAAGCCATATTGACATGGCGTGATGCTGCTGATGTCGTGCTACACATGCTGTAACCAGGAGTCATCAATGAATAGTGCCCCGCCATGTTGATGTCGCAAAAATCTCCGTCTGCAAGTGCCGCCATATCTGGTGTCCCGCAACGCGTATGATGTAGTGAGCAGACACTGATGGCGCATATACACTCAGCGGGCAGCACGCCACTACAGGGATGTCTTAGTGGCGCCGTGCAACAGGGGCCCAGACCAGGGTGTTAACAAATCGTCCCCCCCCTCCTGGACCGTATTGACGTAGCGCAAAAATCTCCGCGTGCACATACCGTCATATCTGGTGTCCCGCACCGCGTACGATCTAGTGCGCAGACCCGTCCAAACAAGCAGACTCCAGTAGGTGATGTTGGTGCCCGTATTAACATGGTGCAGTGAGGCTGATGTCGTGCCACACCTGCTGTAACCAGATGTTGGTGCCTTGTATGCCATGCGTAATGTAATGCTGCGTGCTATGCTGATGTCGTGCCGCAAATGCTTTAACCAAGAGTCATCAATAAATAGTGCCCGGCCAAATTAATGCCACAACAATCTCCGTCTGCAAATGCCGCCATATCTGGTGTTCCACATCACGTATGGAGTGACCAGACACATTTGGCGCATGTACACACAGCGGGGCATCACACCACTACATGGATGTCTTAGGGGCGCCGTGCAACACGGGCCCAGACCGGGGTGTTAACAAATCGCCCCCCTCCCCCCTTCTCGACCGTATTGACGTCGTGCAAAAGTCTCCGTCTGCAAGTACCGCCATATCTGGTGTCCCGCAACACGTATGATGTAGTGAGCAGACACTGATGGTGCATCTACACACAGCGGGGCAGCACGCCACTACAGGGATGTTTTAGGGGCGCCGTGCAACAGGGGCCCAGACCAGGGTGTTAACAAATCGTCCCTCTCCTCCTGGAACTTGTTTACGTAGTGCAAAGATCTCCGTCTGCAAATACGTGTCCCGCACCACGTACGATCTACTGCGCAGACCCGTCCAAACAAGCAGACTCCAGTAGGTGATGTTGGTGCCCGTATGTACATGGTGTAACCTGTGTCGTGCCAAACCTACTGTAACCATCTGTTGGTACCCTGTATGCCATGCATGGTGTAGTGCTGCGTGCTCTGGAGACCTGGGCCGTATGATGCAGTACATGATGCCAGTGCGCACGCTATCTGTGTACGTCGTGACAAGTTGTGGCGGCACAAGGGATGCACGCACATGGCGCGCGGCGAATGGTTTCCAGGCTTTGGATGTATCCGCGGTTCCCTATTGCATGTCGGTTCGTGCGACGGTCCTGGGGTACTTGACGTCTGCTGCGTTCCTCGTTTGAACTCTCCTGTTCCTCCTCGTCCTCGTCCTCGTCCTCTTCCTCGTCCTCGTCCTCCTCCTCCTCCTCCTGCTCCTGCTGCTGCTGCTCCTCCTCCTCCTCCTCCTCCTCCTCCTCCCTCCTCCCCTCCCTCCTCCTCCTCCTCCTGCTGCTGCTGCTGCTCCTCCTCCTCGTCCTCGTCCTCGTCCTCGCCCTCCTCCTCCTCCTCCTCCTCCTCCTCCCCCTCCTCCTCCTCCTCTTCCTCCCCTTCCTCCTCCTCCTCCTCCTCCTCCTTGTCCTGGTCTTCCTCCTCCTCCTCCTCCTCTCCTCTCCTCCTCTCGTCCTGCTACTGCTCCTGCTGCTGCTCCTGCTCCTCCTCCTCCTCCTCCTCCTCCCTCCCCCCCCCTCCTCTCCTCCTCTCCTCCTCCTCCTCCTCCCTCCTCCTCCTCCTCCTCCCTCCTCTCCTCCTCCTCCTCCTCCTCTCACTCCTCCTCCTCACTCTGATCACCCTGGTCCTCCTCATCCTCCTGACCCTCCTCATACTCCTGATCCTCTTCCTCCTCCTCCTCCTCCTCTCCTCCTCCTCCCCCTCCCCCTCCCTCCTCCCTCCTCCTCCTCCTCCTCTCCTCCTCCTCTTCTCCTCCCTCCTCCTCCCTCCTCCCTCTCCTCCTGCTGCTGCTCATGCTGCTCTCTGCTCCTGCTCCTTCTCCCTCCTCCTTCTCCTCCTCCTCCTGCTCCTCCTCTCCTCCTCCTCCTCCTCCTCCCTCCTCTCCTCCTCCTCCTCCTCTCCTCTCCTCCTCCTCCTCCCCTCCTCCTCCTCCTCCTCCTCCCTCCTCCTCCTCCTCCTACTCCTCCTCTCCCCCTCCTCCTCCTCCTCCTCCTCCTCCTCCTCCTCCTCCTCCTTGTCCTCTTCCTCCTTTTCTTCCTCTGTACCCTCCTCTTTCTCCTCCTTCTCCTCCTCCTCCTCCTCCTGCTCCTCCTCCTGCTGCTCGTCCTGCTCCTCCTCCTCCTCCTCTTCCTCCTCTTCCTTTTCCTCATTTTCTTTCTCCTCCTCCTCCTCCTCCTCTTCCTCGTCCTGTTCTTTTTCCTCCGTTTCCTTCTTTTCCTCCTCCTCCTCCTGCTCCTCCTGCCTCCTCCTCCTCCTCCGCCTCTTCCTCCTCCTTTTCCTCCTCGCCCTTCCCCGAACAGTGCACGACGCCTGTGATCACCATGGCGTGCCTGTGACCACCAGACGGCATGGCACCAGCGTCTGCCACATTAGATCACAGCGGATACGTGATATAATAGCAGACGGTATTCGACGATAACGAACGGTAATAGCGGTAATAGGCGGAACATATTGAATGGATTTTACACGTTGGGTTTTGCAAACCAACTTGCGAGTGGGTGGGTGGGTTGATTGCGCGAGCAGTGGAGCGGACTCCAAATTTTCATAAATTGACTGCACCTCTTGGAATGGGCCACGTAGCCCGCACGACAGATACTGAACCGCATATATTGCATAGTTTGCACCACGCCTGTTGCACAACACAGATTGCACCACATCTGATGAACTACATATACAGCACAGCACTGATACAACCACATCTATTGCACACTATAACTTGCTAGACACACTGTTTTGGGCCAGCGCTGGCTTTCACGACACCTATACTCTATGCATGTGTATATATATGTATATATGAATGTGTATATGTTTGTATGTGTGTATATGTGTATGTATATATGTGTGTATGCATGTATGTCTGTATGTAGATGTATGTATGTATGTATGTATGCATGCATGTATGTATGACTGTGTATGTATGCTTGTATCTATGTATGCAGACATGCTTGTTTGAGTGCGTCTATTATATACACAAGCGCTGGAACCATCGTGCGCGCCCGACAAGGTCGCAGAAGGACCCGAGCGGACCTTTGAGAGCTTTCGTCTTCAGCGTTCGTGCTGCCACATGATTGATCGAATCTGTCCGAACATACGCCCGACGAGGGGCCACGAATATGGGAAGAAGGCGTCTCAAGAGGGACCCCAACAAGCTCGTACGTACAAGGCACAAGACCAACATTAATTTCCATAGAGGCTCTAAACGGCCGAACAGGGCGCGGCCCCAAGGAGTCCCCGGAGGTCCCGACAACTTCCAAAGGGCCGGCCCATCCCGCCACCGTGCTTGGGTTGTGGGTGAGAAACCTCGTGGCTGTTCGTAAGGATCTCGTAAGAGGCCCGTCGGGAACTTCTGGGAGGCAGCTTGGAAGGCCTCTTGATGGCCGTTGGGGGGCCTCAGTGGGGCGCCCTGTGGGCCTGCTGGGGGGCCCCGTGGGGCCTCTTGGGGGCCTCGCGTGGGCCTCGTGGGGCACCTCGGGGGCGTCATGGGACCTCCTTGGCGGCGGGCGTCTCGGGGCGAGACTAGGGCTCCCAACTTCGCGCTTCGCGCTCCGCGAAGCGCGAATAACTTCGCGCCCTCGCGCCGCCCCCCCCCCAAAGGGAGAAAAGGAGGACGAGGAGGAGGGGGGAGAAGGAACGAGGACCGCGAAGCGCGAATAACTTCGCGCCCTCGTGGGAGCCCTTGGCGAGACAATCGAATTGTGGGTTCGTGTTCCGCTCTCTTGGGCCCCTCTCAGGGCCGTCTTGGGGGCTCTCTCGGCCGTCTTGGACGCCCCTTGGGCCGTTCCGTGGTCCCTCTGGGGTCGTCCTGGGTCGGTCTGGGGAGGGCAGGAAACGGTGCTGTCTGAATGGAAGCGCTGAGGATGCTGAGAATGTACTTTGGACAGGAGGCGGGGACGCGGAACAAGACGCGACTCCGAGACGAAACGCACGAGGGGCGGGAGCGTGCTCCGGAGAAGCGCTTCTGGAGCACGCTGGGCGATGGCCCCTCGGGGCCAGAAGGTCGACCACAAGTGTGGGCGCTGGGGCGCTTGAGGGGCTCTGGCCATCGCTCGGACGTCCATTTCCTATGTTTTTTTCGGTTTCGTGCGTGGTTTTTTTCGCCAAATGATCAAGGATGCTCCTCGATGGTCCTCGCCGAAGGAAAAATGCACACGTCCGAGCGATGCCAGGGGCTCCTGAGTTGTCGAAAACGGAGCCGCAAACGCCAAGGGAGGCCAAGTATGCTCCAAAAGGGTCCCGAGACGACAAAAGGTCGCCCCAAGACGCCCAGGGCGGCCCCCAGACGGCCCAACATGTCCCGAAGACGGCCCACGAAGTCTCCACGAGGCCCCCCAAGAGAGGCCCAAGAATCGAGAAAGGCCCAAGCGGGATAACTCATGGGTACCATATTGTCTAGTGGCCTGCGGCCCATCCTGCCACCGCGCTTGGGTCGTGGGTTAGAAGCCTCGTGGATGTTTGTAAGGATATCGTAAGCTTTTGGGGGCCTCGTGGGACATCTTGGGGACCTCGTGTGGGCCTCGTGGGGCCTCTCGGGGGCGTCATGGGACCTCCTGGGCGGCGTCTGGGGGCGAAACGCTCGATGGGTTCGTGTTCCCCTCTCTTGGGCCCCTCTTGGGGCCGTCTTGGGGCTCTCTTGGGCCGTCTTGGATGCCTGTTGGGCCGTTCTGTGGCCCTCTTGGCGGGTCTTGGGACCTCCTGCGGCCTCTTCTGCGTCTCTCGGCGCCTATCGGGATCACTTGGATGATTGTCTGGGCTTCTTGGACCAACCTGGCGATCTCTGGGCGTCAATTTGGGCCAGAACTTGTTTTCCTGCGCAAAAGTGGGGCAGCCATGGGTTTGTAGATATGAGCAAGGAGCAAGGAGCAAATCCTAACAGCAAAGCTGGCCCGCTAGGGGCAGGACCCACTAGACCACTAGAGACACAGACGGTCTGCAAAGCGCAACTAAGCGAATGTTCCCACTGCAGTCGAAGCCGCTGAGAAACCAATGCTAGGCTGGTGCGCGCGAACTTTCTGCAGCGCAAGCATCTCGACGCACTCAGGCGCGGGCGTGCTAACGTCGCTGTGGTCGTCTTCGCCCAGAAGACCTCCGACAGCAAACCCCGACCGTCTCAAATGCTTCACGAACACGTTCAAGTACGACACGCCGCCGTCTGTGCGCCCGCGAACGATCTTCAACTCGACCTTGCCAAACGCAACCCATTCCGGAAGAGTCCCGACCTCGCTTTGCGACGCGCTGTAATGATAACCTCCGGCTTGTTTTGCCTCTGCCCAGGAGCCAGTCACGTTCAAGGCCTGGAAGTACATGTCCGAGCAAGATTCGCCCATTCGGCGTGCATCGGCCTGCACACGAAGCAATACTTTTTCAGCGCGCTCTCCACGGGGGATGTTGACCAGAACATGTCTTCCTGGCGCCATCAGATCGAACCGCTCTCCAAATACATTCTGCATATGGGGATCACCAACGGCCGAACTCGTCGACCCCAGTGCGGGCGTCGGTGCGGGCGTCGGTGCGGGCGTCGGTGCGGGCGTTGGAGCTGGCGTCGGTGCGGGCGTCGGAGCGGGCGTCGGTGCGGGCGTCGGTGCGGGCGTTGGAGCTGGCGTCGGTGCGGGCGTTGACGCCTCGGCGTAAGAGAAGTACAGATTCGCGTAGGTGTTCGCGGGCATCGGCGTCCCTGTGGCCGTATATGTTGTCTTCCACCGGCCGCCGCCGCCAGTGGAACCACCCTCGGATGCCCAGTTGTCCATCAGACCAAGCTGGTTGTTAGACTGGCCAGCGTCGCCGTCGCACGTGAACATAGAATACGTACGGTCTAGGCGTTGATTCATGCACAGTCCGAGCCCTCCGCGTGCCATTATCAGATACCATGGGCTAGGCACGCCATGATCAGATTCCAGCCTGAGCGACAAAGAGTTATCGGTGTTCGAAGCAGGCGTTTCCCAAGTAGCTCCAGCTGCGACCTGAAATTCGCCTGTGCACGTGCCGTCGTCCAAGCAGATCTTGACTTTACTTGGGACCCCTTGATCTTTGAAGGCTGACATGTACAAGCCAGACGACTGGGACCCCATTGTGCAAGCGCCCCATAAACAGCTACTGCCGTGTCCAAATGGCCCGGGATGTTGATCGCCATCGGTCGCCGCCACTTTCACCCAACTCGTCTGCACGCGGGGAAGCAACTGCGTGCTGCTGAGCTGGACCTGGACGGAACTCGCGGCCTGCACGCCGTGGGAAATCAGCACCGCACAGTGCCAGATCGTAATCGCCATCTGGGGCCCTTGTCGATATGAAACGACACGGGCAAGTTCGCGCGTGTGGGGAAACCACGGCGACCGCCACGACCGTAAGCAAGAGTACAGGAACTTGCGCTTGAGCCACAATGGCGGCGATGTTTGGGGTCCAGATTGGAAGCCTCTTGGAGCCACGTTAGCCAGCGTGGACCCCAAGCAATTACTTTTTGCAATCTATGAGGTGCAATCCATGTGGTACAATCACTGTGGCGCAAAGCGACGCACAACAATGCAGAGCAACGTACCGCAATGCGAAGCCATGCAACGCAATGCAAAGCAACACAACTCAATGCAAAGCAACGCAACGAAATGCAAAACAATCCGAAACAACACAACGCAACGAAACCACATGCAAATCAATGCAACTCAATGAAAAGCAATGCAAACCAGTACGACGCAATACGAAGCAACGCAACGCCGCGCAATGCAAGGCGACCCCTCGCTCCTGGTCCAAGACGGCCTAGATGGCCTCCAAAACGGCCAAGATGGCCCATGATGGCTTCAGAGATGCCTCCAAGACCGCTAGGATGGCCTCAAGAGAGCCCAAGATAGCCCCAATATGCACCCTACACGGCCCAATCTGTAGTCAAGATAGCTCCAGATAGCCTCCGAGGCGGCCAAGACGCCTCCAACACATTCCTTGGGAAAAAACCCGAAGAAGCTAACATCATCGCTTTCCTGTTTGCTTTTGAAGGATTTTTGCACTTGCTTCTTTTCTGCTTGCCGACGGTCCAGATGGCCCAAGACCTCCGAAGAGAGCCCCAAGGGGCCAAAATCGTTGATTTTCATTTGTTTTTTTCGATGTTTTTTGTGTTCTGGCTTTTTCGGCTTCCGGACGCTCCAAGACGGCCCAAGAGGCCCCCAAGACCGCTCCAAGACGGCCCACGAAGCTCCCAAGACGGCGCCGAAACGACCCAAGAGAGCCCTCAAGACGGCCCAAGTGCCGCCCAAGACGGACCAAGAGGCCCCAAGACGGGCCCAAGAGGGACTCAGGAGGGATACCGAGAACTCAAAAATGGAGCCCTCCGTCCCAGAAGGCGCCCAGGAGGTCCCAAAGAGGCCCCAAGAGGCCTCCAAGAGGCCCCAAGATGTCGCCAAGAGGCCCCAGGAGACTCCCAGGAGGCCCAAAAGAAGCCCCAGAAGGCTTCAAACATGTCTCCCAGGCGCCCCCGAACGGCCTCTCAACAGACCCCAAGAGGCCCCCCAAAGAAGCATCTTGACGACGACTCTATTTCGCCCCATCGAGAGACGACCCCCAGGGAACTGCTTCACCATCAAAACTCCCCACGCAACGCGTCCGAACGACACCCGCCCCCAAGAGCGCAACATGGGCAACGAACACACAGACAAAAACCAGCGATGCCATATCACGGGCCGGCGGAATGAGCGAAGCGATTCAATAAATACACACAAATAAAAATATCCCCCATATTTTCCCATATTTTCTGGGTTTTTGTCTTCCCCACCACTTCCCATATTTTTGCATATTTTCCTGGGAGTCGACAATTAATTGTGTCTGTGTGTTTCTTTCCCTCCTGACGATAGCCCGCTCCAGAAGGGCCCCAAGACGGTCGTGGCAGTGGTGCCCCCCCCCTGGTCAGGCGCTCATCGCGGCGCCCGACCCCAAAGGACGAGGCTGAGGGGAGAAGTGTGGGGGGACGCCTCATCCTCGAGCGCCTCTGCCTCGTTGCTGCTCGCTCCCTCCCCCTTCCCCTCCTCCCTCGCTCCCGCCCGCCCCCTCCCCCTCCCCCTCACCCTTCCCTCTCCCTCCCGCCCCCTCCCCCCTTCCCCTCTCCCCTGCCTCCCGCCCGCCAGCCGCCGCTCCCCCCGTCTCCCTCTCCTCCGTCCTGCCCTCCCCCACGCCCGCCGCCACTACTCGAGTTGGAGATCGACTACCGATTTTCGTTGTCCCAGGGTTGATTTGTCCCCTCGAACCTACGGGGGAAACACCAAGACGCCTCTGTAGAGCTGAAGAGCATGCTAATCATCTGTCGTAGGCTCGACGGAGAATCCATCATTAAAGGGAAATTAGGACACACAAATAAATACACACAAATAAAATTATTCCCCATATTTTCCCATATTTTCTGGATTTTTGTCTTCCCTCCCACTTCCCATATTTTCCCATATTTTCTGGGGAATCGAGGATTAATTGTGTCTGTGTGTTTTTTTCCCTCCTGAATCATGGGGGTGAATCAACTCTGCAGTCGATCCCCTACTCGAACTACCCCCCCCCCAGTGTGCACGACTCGTGCCGTCGCGCCCCACTGGCCGGGCGCCCCTCGCCGCCGCGCCCCCCCGACGGGGGGGCGTCGGCGGGAGCGCCTCGTCCACGAGCGCCTCTATCTTGGTGCTGCTCTGGAACTCCTGCGCCCCCCCCCGCCCGCTCCGCCGCGAGGGGCCGGCTCTGGGGGCGAGGGGGGCCTCCCACTCCTCCTCCTCCTCCTCCTCCTCCTCCTCCTCCTCCTCCTCCTCCTCCTCCTTGCCTTCTCGCTCCTTGCCTTCTCCTCCTCTTCCTCCTCGCTCCTTGCTCCTCGCCTTCTTGCTCCTCCTCCTCCTCTGCCTCCCCCTTCTCCTGGCTCCTCTTTCTCTTGGCTCTTCCTGTCGCTGCGATAGAAACACGAGAGGGGACGGTCTTGGCAACTCGCGTGCCTGCCGGGGGGCCCTCACTGGGCTCCCCGGCAGGCACGCGAGAGAGGACTCGCCGTCAGGAACTGCCTCGGGAGGAAGAGCTTGGTCCCGGGGAACAGGGGCCTCCCAGATGATCGGGGCAGATGGGGTCTGAGGCTCGCGCCGCATCGCCGATGCATCGTCGACGTCGGCAGTGCATCGGCGACGCCGGCGTGGAGGAAATCGGGCTCCACATTGAGCCGCATCGCCGAGGCATCGGCGATGCGGCGCGATCCCCCGACCTCAGCTGCTCCGACCCCGTCTAGGACGCCAGGAGGGAAGGGGTCCGGCCCTTCAGGGGCCTGCGTCGGGGAGCAACACGTGGGAGGTCTAGGCAAATGATACAGGGCAAGCCTTCTCAGGAGGCGGTGGGGCTACGGAAAAACCTTGGGGAGATTTCAGAAGGCCGGAGGCCGTCTGGGACCTCAGAAAAAAAGGCCCGCCCCCTCTGCCTTCCCCCTGGACGCGCCCCCGTTAACGCAGGGCTGGCTAAGGACGAGATGGGGATGAGGATGAGGATGAGGGTGATGATGATGATGAGGATGAGGATGATGAGGACTGAGGATGAGGATGATGAGGATGAGGATGATGATGATGATGATGATGATGCTGATGATGATGATGATGATGATGATGATGATGATGATGATGATGATGATGATAATGACGATGACGATGATGATGCTGATGCTGATGCTGATGCTGCTGCTGATGCTGATGATGATGATGATGATGATGATGCTGGTGATGATGATGATGCTGATGATGAGCAGGGCAGAGCAGAGCAGAGCAGAGCAGAGCAGAACAGAGCAGAGCAGAGCAGCGCAAATGATCAGAGGAAGTGCAGCTACCTCGAGACTACAGCACCCTGCAGGGCACCAGGGGAAACCCGAAAACAGAGCAGGCGTTCGAGAACCACACGAGGGGCGCGAGCAAAGACGAGACCCCCATGCTGGGGGCCCCTCGGGGGCTCGCCTAGGCACTCCCCACCGAACAGAGCCGAGGGCGGGCGGCGTGAGAGCCGACCCCAGCACAACCCCAATTGGGACTCGCGGCGCGGGGCCGCCCAGACGTCCGAGGGCCTCGACGACCCGATGACTCGGCCATCCCCCATAGCGCTCGCGGCCAGGCGCGGCAGACGCGGGGCCGCGGACAGGGCCCGAACCCGCTCAGCGTCGAGAGAAACCTGAGTTGGGGAAGACCGACCAAAAATTCCAACCTCCAGGGCACCATCCGAATACGTGAGGATCGGGGTCGGGGACCGAGCCTGGAGGGCGAGGAGAGGCCCGTCCTGGAGGTGACCCTGCAGGTGCAACTCAGCGGCACGGCGAAAGCCGTTGATTGCAACCAGGCGAGAACGAAACTCAGACGCCCACTATGGCCTCTAAGAACCCCTGATCTGCCCCAAGAGGGCGCGATGACGACCCAGGAACGCCCTAAGACTGCCAAAGAGGCCCCCAAGAAGCTCTGAAAGGCCTCCAAAAACCCTCCAGGAGGCCCCCAGGAATCTCCCAGGAGGCCCCAAGAGTGCCCTAAGAGGCGCCCAAGAGGCCTCCTCCTCCTCCTCCTCCTCCTCCTCCTCCTCCTCCTCCTCCTCCTCCTCCCCCCCTCCTCCTCTTCTTGCTCCCCCATGCGTGACCCGAAGCCTTTCCAAACTGACTCGGGGAACAATTGGCCCGATGGCTTGGCCAAGCTCTGGCCCAGCTGTCCGCCACAAAGGCGCTTCCAAAGGGGCAGAGGGCGGCGGTGATTCGCCGTGGGCGTCTTTGATGCTTTCGGAGGTCCGCGCGAATGTCTTGGATCGGCGCTGGACCCCTCGCTGGCACGGGGAGCGCGCCAGGGGTGGCGCCGGAGGCGCCGCCGGGGGCCCCCAGCGCCGATCCGAGGAATCCGCGCGGAGCTCCGACACATTCTGTTTATGCCATGATCTGTTCCCCGAATCTCTCGCGACAGCCCACGACTCGTGCGCCTCAGAGGGCCACACGCCTCGGCCACGGAGCGCCTCCCGAGAGGGCCCGCATCGCGCACCCCCTGGGGTGGTGTGGCGGCAGCGAGCGCCGCTCATGTTGCGAGGCGGGGATTTATCCACATCCACCGCCTGGGAACCGACGTCCTGGTGCCCCAGCGGGCGGTGGATGTGGATATATTTCGGCCCCCTCGGGGGCCCGAATATGTCCGTATCCACCGCCTGCCGAGGCTCCGAGAACGGACCCTCCAGGCGGTGGACATGGATAAATTCCCGCCTCGGACATTTGGACGCCCGAAACGGATACGGAACAACTGGGACGATGCCAAACGTTGTCCAATACCGACAGCGGCCGCTGTTAGACAGGCGTCGGCCGCTGCTCAGCAGGCGGCCTTCCGTCTCAAATGGACCACGCCCGCGGCGGCACCGGCAGCGAGCCCTGTTTTAGAATTTGGGACAATGGTGGTATCAATACCGCTACTGCCCAGACCTCTCCCGGGTGCGTTCTGACCAGGACTTGGAGGCCAACCCAGCGGTGGCGAAGAGGGCCTCCCAGGAGGCCCCAAAAGGGGATAACGAGGCAAGGGTAGCGGAATGGGTCATTCTCCTCATCTGACGATTGGCAGGAACTGCCGTTAATCTGCGTCCCCATTATTCCCATGCCCATTGCGATCTTACCGAGCTCAATCTGGCCCTGCACTCCGCCTGGCGAGCGTGGCCCCTCCGAGGCGCGGATCTTCTGCAGGATGCTCCTCTTGCCCATGCCTGGCGCGGAGAGAGGCCAACGAGAGGGGGGGCAGCTCAGAGCGAGGGCATGCCCAGGGAGGATGAGGAGGAGGGAGGAGGGTGAGGATGGAGGCTGAGGGAGGAGGAATGAGGGAGGAGGGAGAAGGGAGGAGGCAGGAGGCAGGAGGAGGATGCTGCTGCTGATGACGGCGACGGTGACGGTGACGGTGACGGCGACGATGACGATGACGATGACGATGATGATGATGATGATGAGGAGGAGGAGGAGGAGGAGGAGGAGGAGGAGGAGGAAGAGGAGGAGGGGGAGGAGGAGGAGGAGGAGGAGGAGGACGGGCGAGCGCTCGAGTCGCCACCTCGGGGCGCGCAGCCCTAGTCTCCGTGCTGGCCTGCGCCCCCGGGGCGCACCTGGGCGTCCAAGGGCCGCCCCCCCCCCCCGCGAGCACATCGTTTCTGACTACCTAACATGTGTTTGTTCGATGTTTCCCTGCCCACCCCCCCTGGAGACCGAGGGCAGATTTGAGCCTTCGGGTTGGGTTGGGTTGGGGTGCTTTGGTGGGTGGTGAGTTTCAGCCTCTGGCTTCCTGCTTTGCCAGCTGCGGGTGCCCTCCTCCCCAGAGGGCTCCCGAGAGGACGGGGCGACAGGAGGAGCGGGAGAGAGAAAGAGAGAGAGAGAGAGAGGAATAGAGAGAGGTGAGGGGGATGGTGGGGGCGGGCGGAGAAGAGGAACACATGATGGGGAAGCTGCGGTATACTATTGGCACATTCGGGAGAACAAGGGGATCGGGGGAGGGACAGTGGGAGGAGGACGAGGATGATGAAGTAGAACCAGAGAAGAGACGAGAAGGGATGAGGAAGAGGGGGAGAGGAGGCGAAGGGTACTGGGAGGGAAGAGCGAAAGAGAGAGAGAGAGAGAGAGAACGAGATAGAGAGAGAGAGAGAGAGAGAGAAAGAGAGAGCGAGAGAGATAGAAAATAAGGGAACGAACGGCGAGGGAAAGAAGGGGCAGGAATCGACGTAGGGACGGAGAGGATCGACGGGAATGGATGTGCTCAAAACTCAGACTTCGTGCTTTTTCACGTGGGTAAGCCCCTTCCCCAGGACCAAGTTTTCGTCGGGTTCTTGCTCTGATTGGACCGATGTGGTCTCCGTCCTCTCCTCCTCGTCCTCCTCGCAGCTCCATGGGGTGCTGGCAACTGCGCAACCGTCGTCGTTTTCGTGGGCTCCTGCGAGGTCCAACGGAATGGAATGGTACGCGGATCCTGCCGCGATCTCGGGGCTTCCTGGGGAGGTGCAGCGGAGTCCCGCAGCTCCCAGGGGTTGCTGCGAACTGCGCAACTGTCGCCACTTTCGTGGGCTCCTGGGAGGTGCAGCGGAGTGGACTGGTACGCGGATCCAGCTGAGACCTCGCGGCTCCCTGGGGGGCTGCGACGTTGGCAACTGCCGCCGCTTTCGTGGGCTCCTGACAAGTGTAGCGGAATGGAATGGTACGCGGATCCAGCCGAGACCTCGCGGCTCCCTGGGGGGCTGGCTATTGCGCAACCGTCGCAATGTTCGTTGGCTCCTGGGAGGCCCAGTGGAGTGGAGTGGTACGCGGATCCAGCAGGAACCTCGCGACTCCCTGGGGGCTGCGACGTGCGCCACCGTCGACACTTTCGTGGGCGCCTGGGAGGTCCAACGGAATGGAGTGGTGCGCGGGTCCAGCCGAGACCTCGCTGCTCCCTGGAAGGCCGCGACGTGCGCAACACGTCACCCCTTTCGCGGGATCCCGTGAAGTCCCGTGGAGTGGAGCTCGCAGGTCCTGCCGCGACCTCGCGGCTCCCTGGGGAGCTGCGAAATGCGTAACTGTCCACCCGTTCTTCGGCTCCTGGGACGAACCGCAAAATGAAATGGAACGCTGATCCAGCTGAGACCTCACGACTCCCAAGGAGGCTCCGACGTGCGCACGTGTCGCCACTGTCGCACGATCCTGGGAAATGCAACGGAATGGGGTGCCACGCGGATCCAACCAAGACCTCGCTGCTCCCTGGGGGGCTGCGAACTGCGCAATGGTCGCCACTTTCGTCGGCTCCCAGGAAATACCGCGCAATGAAATGGTACGCGAGTCCAGCCGAGACCTCGCGGCTCCCTGGGGGGCTCCGACGTGCGTAACTGTCGCCACTTTCGCGGGCTCCTGGGAAGTGCAACGGAATTGGGTGACACGCGCATCCCGTCGAAACCTCGTGGCTCCCTGTGAGGCTGCGAAACGCCCCAATGCCGCCACTTTCGCGGCCTCCCGTGAAATCCCGCGGAATGGAGTATGCGGATCCAGCCGAGACCTCGCGGTTCCCTGCGAGGTGCGTGTCCTTCATCATGTTCGTTTGTGTTGAGCGGTCCTTCACATAGCTGCCCCATGCTTAGGAAAGGGTTGGGCGCGTCTCAGGGTCTTTGTTTGACGGCCCCAGGCCCCGCGAGGGCCCCCAGCAGAAGAACATGTCAACCACACGCCCGTCAGAGGGGGAGGTGGAGGAGGGGAAACCGCCTCGGGCCAAGCAAGCAGACGCTCGCGCAGATGGCGGATCGCGCCCACACGAGCCGGCCACGCGCGCGCGCATCTTGCGCCCTGGCAGAGCACGCGATGGCGAAAGTTCCTGTGGCGACCGCACCCCTGTCCGTCATTATGCCCGGACTGCCCGACTCTTGGCGGCCGCGCACAGGGGTGTGGCGCGAGGGGATACGGCCTTCCACGAGGGCGGGGGGGCTTCTGAAGCCCGACAAGGCCTTTTCAGAAGGGCCCGGTATAACGCAACAAAATGAGCTTGTCCGCTTTCGGGGGCGCCTGTCTCAGGGCGGCTGCGAAGTTTATGCCCCCGCCTGCCGCGGGAAGGGAAAACAGCTCCTCCAGCCGCCCTGGGACAGGTGCCCCAGGTGGCGGGACAGCTCATTGCCCAAACAACTTGTCCTTGTCTGCAAGGGCCCTATACAATCCTCAGCCGAATGCGGGGCGCGCCGGATCTGGAATCGGTCGGGCGCCTTGGTCTCCCGTATGTCCAGCACCGGCTACTGCTGTAGCTACTCTGTGGTTATGCTGTCAACTCCCGCACCGCTCCCTCTTCTGTTTTTCCACTTGCCCGACACCAAGGTTCTGAATCTGCTCTTGGCCCCCCAAGACAAAATGGGGAAACAAACAATTAAATAAACAGACAAATTCGGAGGTCCGCGCGGATTTCTCGGATCGGCAATGGACCCCCCTCCTTGGCGCGCGGAGCGCGCCAGGGGCGGCGCCGGAGAAACGCCGCCAGGGGTCTACAGCGCCGATCCGAGGAATCCGCACGGACCTCCAAGTTTCAACATTTCTGTCATTGTTCGTTCCCCTACATGAGGCGCAGTGGCAGGAGAGCCCATAATCGAATCGATAAGTCGGATCGGCGATCGAAATGAATCGGATCGGCGGAAATCGGCAGCCGAGTCGGGAAAAGTCGAATCGGCGGAAATCGACAGGATAGTAAGCGTCCAATGAGAAACCGGACCCCAAATCGGAATCCGAAATCGAATCGAATCGGAATCGGAACACATCGAAGTCGAATCGAATCGAATCGGAGGAATCGAAACGCGCCCTGCAGTGGTGCCACGGCAGCAAGTGAACAAAAAGGGTGGGACGGGCGGGACAAGCGGTCCCCCCCTGGACCCCGAGACGGCAGCAAGCAGGCGGCGCGTGCGCGGCAGAGCCGCGAGGGGAGGCGCAGGGAGTCTTCCCGTCTTCGTGACTCCGCGCTTCGGGCCTTTCGCCGCGAGGGTGTCATCGTACACCCTTCTTTCGAATCGGAGGTTGACTGCAGACTCAATTCGCCCAGAACAGTTTTTTCGCTGGATCTTCTTCGAGACGTGCGCAGCACGTTCGCATATCTACGATCATGTTGCGCACCTTTGGTGGAAATGAACTGTGGGGGCCAATCAATTCTGCGGTCGATCTCCTGCTCGATGCTTCGCCCGCTGATGATGGGGCGCGCCCCTTGCGCGCCCAGACCACCCCCCTTCCTGGCGGGGAGTCTAACTAACCTTCGCCCTCGTGAATCCGCGTTTGGGGTCTTTTGCCGCGAAGGTGTGTCCGCATACCCTTCTAGAGTTCTAGAGGACCCCCCAAAGGTCTGGACCCCCTCCCTGGGACCAATTTGTCGTCCCGAATCGTTGTTTGACGATCCTGAGGCCCGGTATAAAGAGCCTCGGGATGTCGAAAGCAGCGAAACACCTCCCGGCGTGTTTCTTTTTATCTTTTCTTCTATTATTATTATTATTATTATTATTATGATTTATGTATTTATTGATTATTCATGTATTTGTTTATTTATTTATTGTTTATTATTAGTATTATTATTCTTATTACTATTATTTTTATAATTATTATGATTACGATTATGATTGTTAATGCTACAACTGTTAGTATTATTATTATTATTATTATTATTATTATTATTAGTATTATTATTATTATTCTTATTCATTTTGTCAAAACGCGAGGGGGTCTGGGACGGACACCCGTTTGCATGGACCCCCGTCTCTCCCAGACCCCCGACGTCACGTTTTTCTCATAACGTCGATCCTCAGAGGTCTCGACCCATGTTCCTGGACCGGTTTTCCATCCTGAGTCGTTTCTTGACGGTCCCGAAGGCCTCCAGAAGCCGACAGTGGGCCTGGACTGGTTCTCCCTCCTGGGTCGTTTCTTGACGGTCCCGAGGGCCTGGACCGGTTTCCCATCCTGAGTCGTTCCTTGACGGCTCCGAGGGCCGGTCAGGGCCTCCAGAGGCCGAAAATTTGGGACACACCTCTCGCCATGGTCTCTCCTTGCCCGACGGGGTCTGAGCTTGAGCCCCTCCGCCGGACAGCCCCAGGGAGGAGGAGGAGGAGGAGGAGGAGGAGGAGGAGGAGAGGAGGAGGAGGGGAGGAGGAGGAGGAGGAGGAGGGGGAGGAGGGGGAGGAGAAGGTGGAGGAGGAGGAGGAGGAGGAGGAGGAGGAGGAGGAGGAGGAGGAGGAGGAGGAGGAGGAGGAGGAGGAGGAGGAGGAGGAGGGGGAGGAGGAGGAGGAGGAGGAGGAGGAGGAGGAGAGAGGGAGGAGGAGGGAGGAGGAGGGGAGGAGGAGGAGGAGGAGGAGGAGGAGGAGGAGGAGGAGGAGGAGGAGCAGGGCGGACCCGCCCCGCGGGCGGGGGGGCCTGCCGCCATGGCGCAGGACCGGTGGTCTGGGCGCGCAGGCGCGGGCCCGGGCGCCACCGCCGCGGGGCCGGCAGTCCTCGGGGCGCAAGGCGCGCTCCGGGGCGGCGGGCGCCCGCGCCCCTGCCTCCGCTGCGTCGCTGCTCCCTCCTTCTCTCCCGCCCTCCCCCCCCCGCAGGAAGGGGGATGAGGGTGATGAAGATGATGGTGAGGATGGTGATGGTGATGGTGATGGTGATGGTGATGGTGATAAGGATGAGGATGATGAGGATTATGATGGTGATGATGATGATGATGATGATGATGATGATGATGATGATGATGATGATGATGATGATGATGATGCTGATGCTGATGCTGATGCTGCTGCTGATGCTGATGCTGATGCTGATGATGATGATGATGATGCTGATGCTGATGATGATGATGATGATGATGATGATGATGATGATGATGATTCTGATGATGGTGCTGACGATGCTGCTGATGATGATGGTGATGCTGATGATGATGCTGATGCTGATGATGCTGCTGCTAATGATGAGGCTGATGATGATGATAATGATGCTGGTGCATATGCTGATGATGAGGAGGCTGCTGCTGCTGGTGGTGATACGCCCTCCGCGGCGGGTGAAACTGCCAACGACAAAGCATGCCACCACGTACCAGAACCGACCAACAGACTGAGCTCCTCCAGGGAGGGGGAATAGGCGGGAGGGGACGCGATGGGTGGGTGCCCGGGGTGGCGAGGCGAGCTGGAAGAGTACAGCCAGGCTGACGTGGGGCCCCGCCCCGGCTGACGAGTTACAGGGAGCACGACTCAACCTTCGCGCCACCCAGGATGGTCGCGCCTCGCGACCACCTGCTAGAAGGTCGCGGCGACACCTGACTCCCAGGGTTATGTGGTTCCCATCCTACTTAAGGACCACATCCCAGAAGTACTCTCGAGCGCCCTGAAAAGTGTCATAAGAGTGTCGAAACAGTGTCGGGCGAGTGTCTCCCGGGGCCCGCTGGTGAAAACCCTCGAGTTTCGGCACTTTTTGGGGGGCGCTCGAAATTCTTTCTGGTGATCAGGGCTAGAGGTAGCTTGGAGCATCATAAATCCCGTCAGATTGAACAGCTGGGCGAGAAGATCTAGGAGGAAAGCCTCCTTCTCCACCTCCTCATCCTCCTCCTCCTCCTCCTTCCCCTCCTCCTCCTCCTCCTCCTCCTCCTCCTCCTCCTCCTCCTCCTAGTCCCTAAGGGGGCCTCCTCGGGCCTCCTCGAGAGCAGCTCCTGCGGCCTCACGGGCGCCGAGGTCGCCTTGCTGCCCGTGCCGCACGCTCGCCTGCAGGATGGCGCGTGCGCGCTCCCCGTGAGGAGCCTCGCGGGGCCTCCCCGGGCACCGCTCCACGGGCCCCGGACGACCCTCAGGGTCCTCTTTTTTTTGGGTGGAGGAGGAGGAGGAGGAGAACGCGGCCACACGAACTTCACACGACGCGGTTGCCACCATAGTGCGATCAAGTTCAACGGCAACGTGAAGGAAAGACTCGAAATAGGATGTGCGTTAAAATCGCCACACGAGCGCACGCCACAAAGCGTGCATCGACACCGCTCGGCAGAGCCCCCCGGGTCCTGGGATACTAGCGCCCAAATCGCCTGCCGAAAAGCATCTGGGCCCTCATCCGCCTCCAAGACGCCTGCCCAGTCCGTTCCTTTGCTCTCTCTCGTGCTCGGGGCGTCATCCATGCGACGGGACATCGTCACGTGGCGAGGTGAGCTAATTACATTTAACGCCGCAAACGCCGACTCCTCAGGAGAGCCCCAAACGGAATCGATAAGTCGAATCGGCGATCGACATGAATCGGATCGGCGGAAATCGGCAGCCAAGTCGGGAAACATCGAATCGGCGAACATCGGCAAGCTGGTATGCCTCTAATGAGAAATCGGAACCCAAATCGGAATCCAAGTCGGATAGTATCAGAATCGAAAACCATCGGCATCGAATCGAATCGGAGGAATCGAAACGAGCCCTGACTCCTCTTTCCAATCACAAGGACGTTGCTGCACAGTGAGAAAGGCAAAGGAGGGGAAGAACTGAACCCCATGGCCCCCTGTCACCGGCCCACCCCTCGCGGACAAATTACGCTCATGCCTTCCAATCCTCCCGGGCCCTTCCTCTTGCGTCCGCATGCCGCCAGCATCACAGTAGCTTCACAACAACGATTCTGCGGAGGATGATCGCAACATCCGCCACCGTGCTCTTTGGCACACAAAAAGACGTAGGCCATAATAAAATCCCTCAAAGACATGAGACCTTCCGTCGGCCAACACAAACAAAACATCTATAAGGGTATCCTCCCCAGCATGCTTAGGAGCATCCCACAAACACGAAGAAAACTGCGGTACCCTCACCGAACCGATCTCGATCTGATACTTCGGTCCGACGGTAGTGAAGCGGTATTGAACCCAGCCCTGTGTGATAGGGCTCCTGTACCCGTCGGTCGGAAGAAGCAGGTAGAAACATGAAGTAGGAAGGCGCATAAAAAAAAGTAGATTGGAATCTGGGACTCGCAAAAAACTTACTTTCAGCGACCGATGGGTAAATCTGCGCAGGGCCGCCGTCCGTCTCCCTGTCGCATCCGCTCGCGTGCGCCGTCCCCCCTCTGTGGGTCTCCATAGGGCCTCTAAGAGGACCACCGCGGCCGCCAAAAAGGCCCAGCGTTGCCTCAAGAGAGACCCAACAAATCTCAAAGAGACTCCAAGAACCGCCCAGCAGGTGCGAAAAGGCGCCTCAGAGGCTCCCAGGGATGTCCAACAGACCATCCAGAAAACACATGAGAAACTGACATTCGCCAAACCGTGCTTGCACTTAGGGATTCGTATTCGTCTTACAAAAAATTGGATGGGCGCGTTGAACGCCACGTTCCGACCCATTGCCGCTTGTGCGAGTGCGTCGAGGGTCTGCTACGTTCCCGCCCGTTCTCGCTTGTGGGGGTGCGTCGAGGGCTGCCACTCTCGTTGCCGCTTGTGTGGGTGCCTCGAGGGTTCGCCACGTTTCTCGGCCGTTGCCGCTTGAATATGTGCGTCGAAGATTCGTTGCGTTCCCGCCCGTTGCCGCGTGGGTGGGTGTGTCGACGACTCGCTACGTTCCAGTCCGTTGCCGCCTCGTGCGCTCCCGCATCCAGTGGGGAGACTTTTTGTCGCAACCGCAAGCGAGAGCGCAGGCGGCGAGTGACGGAACGAGCGGGCCGCGCACGAACCTAATTGCCTAACGCGCCGGCAAGCAGAGGCCTAGGCGGCACCTCAGAACACCGGGGCGGAGGGGGTGTGGGCTGCAGCTGCCAGGAACCAGGTCCAGGAGCGCGCACATGCAATTAGCTCCAGTGGGGAAGTTTTTTTTGGTCGCGGCCGCAAGCGAAGAGCGCAGGCGGCGAGCAGGGTGTCCGGGCCGACGGGCAAGCCTAATTAGCTACAGGGCGCGCCAAGCAACAGAGCGCAGCACGAGCCGGCCGGGCCAGCTCACAAACGCGTCAGCTGGGGCAGCGGCGGCGGGGGGCTGGCTGGCTGAACTGGAACGCCCTGGGAAGCTCAAGCAACGTGCAGCCCTGCTGCAAAATGCCAAGGAATTCTGTGTTACGCGCTGTGGCGGCCAGACGTGGTAAACGATGGGCCGTCGCCAGTGGGGCGCCTAGCCCAAGCTGCGCCAACGGCGTGCCTTGCTGAGCTGCTCCGCCGAAAAAGCGCCGAATACCAAGCTGGTGGTCCAGTGGGGAAGTTTTTTTTGGTCGGCGACTCCGAGGCAACGGACAGGGAGCGGAAGCGGCGTCCGGGTGACGGCACGGGGGCCAGTGGGGAGACGCGAAGCGTCAAGAAAACGAAAAGCTGCTTCCCAATCAGTGGGCCTCATTTTTTGGTCAGCATTTCTGTGGACGCGAAGCGTTGCCACATAGCTTCCACCATCTATGATATTTTCCACCACGTAGCTTCCACCACATACTAAGTTTCCACCGCTAGAGTGCGAAAGCTTACTGTTCGGGTCCACGATGACAAACATCTTGAACTCACCCGAAACGGGTCAGGGGGGGTCCCAGGTCAGAACACCGCACCCCCGGGGTCCTGGGGGGGGGTCGCCAGCTGGGGTCCCGAGGGAGGCCCCGCATACACGGTCGGCGGCACAGGCCGTAAGGCCTTCCAATCACCCAGGGGGGGTGATGGGCCAATGTTCCACCCCCACTACCATAGGTAGGACGGTGGAGAAGGATGGGGAGGTCCTCCTGCGAGCGCCAAGAGAAGTCGAGACGCCACCACACACCTACGCCCCCGGAGCTCGACGAGCAGCGGCACGACCCGGTAGCAGACCACGACCAGCAGCAGCAGCAGCAGCAGCAGCAGCAGCGCGTGCGCCGCCGCCCTCCTCCTCCTCCTCCTCCTCTCCTCCTCCTCCCTCCCTCCTCCCTCCTCTCTCCCTCCTCCTCTCCTACGTATGGTAGTGGTGGTGGAACATCTGCCCATCAGTGGGCCCCACGACTCTCCCCGAGCGGTCCCAAGGTGGCGCAAGCGCGGCCCCCAGGCAGCCCGCGCGGACTTCTTCGGGCTGGCGCGCGCCAGGGGCGGGGGCCAGAGAGGCCGCCAGGGGGTCCCAGCGTCGATCCAGGAAGCCATGACGGACCTCCGAACGGTTTTGGTTCCCAACCATCCCATGGTGTTGGGTTCGCGTTTGGAAGAGAGATCCCCGCGTCTCCTCCTTCTCTCCTCCTCCTCACTCCTCCCGTCACCCCCCTCACTGTGGAGCAGCCCTCAACGTTTCGAACCCCACAGGGAGCTACACCTAAGGCCCCAATGGTTGCGCCCGCATGCCGCCCTCAATTTGGCACACCCCTCACACGCTTCGTGGCCCCATCGGGAGCTACACCTAAGGCCCTAGTGGTTGCGCCCGCGTGACGCCCCCCTCACTTTGGCACACCCCTCACACGTTTCGTGGCCCCATAAGGAGCTACACCGAAGGCCCCAGTGGCTGCGCCAGCATGCACCTAAAGCCCCAATTGCTGCGCCCGCATGCCGCCACCCCCTCATTGTGACACACCCCGCTCACGTTCCGTGGCCCCACATAGGCCCCCTCCCCACCCAATGCAGCGTTTCGTGGTCCCATAAGGAGCTCCACCGAAGGCCCCAGTGGGGATGTTTGCATGCGGCCCCCCAACCAATACAGCGTTGTGTGGCCCCATATGGAGCTCCGCCGACAGCTCCAGTGGCGGTGTTCGCATGCGTTTCCCCACCCAATACAGCGCTTCGTGGCTCCATAGGGAGCCCCACCGAAGGGCCCAGTGGCGGTGGCTGCGCCTGCATGCGCCCCCGCCCCATTTCGGCACACCGTTAAAACGCTTCGTGGCCCCATACAGAGGTCCACCGAAGGCGATACCCACAACGGCGATACTCACAACTGCATATGGTTGGGCCCTTCGCCAGGATATTTCACTGGTTTGACAAGACGGCGCCCCGGCTTTCCTCCCGCCTCCTTCCTCCCCGTCCTCCCTCCCCCTCCTCCTCCTCCTCCTCCTCCTCCTCCTCCTCCTCCTCTTCCTCCCCCCCCCCTCCATCCTCCATCCTCCATCCTCCTCCTCCTCCTCATCACCAGCAGCATCACCATCATCACATGCGTCTGTGCCATCCATTTCGGCACACCCCTCAAACGTTTCGTGGCCCCATGGGGAGCTCTACCGAATGCCCCAGTGCCAGGGTTCGTATGGCACCGCCGCCTCCATTTCGGCATACCCCTCACTGTGGCCCCATAAAGGGGGCTTCACCGAAGGCCCAAATGGCAAAATCTACATGCGTCCCCGCGACTCATGTCGGCACACCCCTCACACGGTTCGTGGCCCCATCGGGAGCTCTACCGAGGGCCCCAGTTGTAGTGTTTACATGCGTCCCCACGATTCACTTCGGCACACCCCTCACACGGTTCGTGGCCCCATAGGAAGCTCCACCGAACGCTCAAGCGGCAGGGTTTACATGCGTCCCCGCGACTCATTTCGGCACACCCCTCACACGGTTCGTGGTACCATAGGCAGCTCCACCGAAGGCCCCAACTGTAGGGTTGTGACTCATGTCGTCACACGACTCACACGGTTCGTGGCCTCATAGGGAGCTCCATCGAAGACCCCAACTACATGCGTCCCCGCGACTCATTTCGGCACACCCCTCACACGGTTCGTGGTTGGGAAGCTCCACCGAAGGCCACAGTGGCAAGGTTTACATGCGTCCCCGCGATTCATTTCGTCACACCCATCACACGGTTCGTGGCACCATAGGGAGCTCCACCGAAGGCCCCAGTGGCAGGGTTTACATGTGTCCCCGCGATTTATTCCTGCGCACCCCTCATACGGTTCGTGACCCAATGCCTCAATGGCAAGGTTCACATGAGTCCCCGCGACTCATTTCGAGGAAGAGACGCTTCCGACAGGCCCCTGGGATTTTCCACGGCGCAAGGCCCCTGGACCTCTCGACCCCATCCAAAAGACAACATCTTACATTCCGAATATTTTTGCTCATAATCCTGGACCCACAAACGGCCTCCCCGGAAGATGCGATCGAGGGAGATCCACCGAAGGTCCCAGTGACGCAGTTCGCATGCGTCTCCCCCGCCCAGTACAACGTTTCGTGGCCCATAGGGAGCTCCACGGAAGACGATACCCACAACTGCGGTACTCACCACTGCATATGGTTGGGTTCATCGCCAGCTTTTGGCTTACAACATTTTTTGATTGATTGTTTTGGTTCCAACCATCCTGTGGTGTTGGGTCCTCGTTTTGAAGAGACCGCGTTCCGCGTTGCTTCCTTCCTTCCTCCTCCCTCTCCTCCCTCCTCCCCCCCTAACTCCCATGTTGGCACACCCCTCACACATTTCTTGGCTCCATATGGAGCTCCACCGAAGGCCCCAATGGCTGTGTTCGCGTGCGTCCCCGCACCCGATTCGGGACACCCCTCACACGTTTCGCGGCCCCGTAGGGAAATCCACCGAAGGCCCCAGTCGCGGTGTTCACATGCGTCACCGCACCTGATTCAGGACACTCCTCACACGTCTCGTGACCCCACAAGGAACTCTTGCGCACCCGATTCGGGACACCACCTCACATATTTCGTGGCCCCAATGGGAACTCCACCGAAGGCCGCAAGGGCGGTTTTCGGATGCGTCCCCGCACGGGATCCGGGATTCGGGTCACCCCTCACACGTTTCGTGGCCCCGTAGGGAGCTCCAACGAAGACTCCGATGGCGGCGTTCGCGTGCGTCCCCGCCACCCAATTCGGCACACCCCTCGCACGTCTCGTGGCTCCACAGGGCTCCGCCGAAGGCTCCAGTAGCGGTGTTCGCATGCGTCCCTGCCACCCATGTCGGCACACCCAGTTCGAGGCCCCATAGGGAGCTCACCCAAAGCCCCAGAAGCGACGTTCGCATGCGCTTCCCCCGCCCGGCACACTGTTTCGTGCCCCCGTAGGGAGGTCCACAGCAAAACCAAGTGGCCGCGGCCGCATGCGTTTCCCACCCCCAGTAACACGCAACGTTTCGTGGCCCCATAGGGAGCTCCACCGAAGGCCCCGGGGGCGGCGTTCGTATGTGTTTCTCCCGCCCAGCACCGTTGCGTTGCCCCATAAGTAGCGCCACCGAAGGCTTCAGAAGCGACGCTCGCATGTTGCTTTACCCCGTGCAGCCTCTCGTGGCCCATAAGGAGCTCCACCGAAGGCCCCGAAGGCGACGTTCGCATCCGTCCTTTCCAGCCCAATGCAGCGTTTCGTGGCCCCGTAAGGGCTCCACCGAAGGCCCCATGGCCGACGCCCGCAACCGCTTCCCCTACCATGTACAACGTTTCGTGGCTCCATAGGGAGCTCCACCGAAGGGAAGGCCTCAGAGGCGACGTTCGCATGCGTTTCCCCCGCCCAGCACATTGTTTTGTGGCCCCGTAGGGAACTCCACCGAATACTCCAGTGGCCGCGGCCGCATGCATCTCCCCCACCCAGTATAGCGTTTCGTGGCCCCATCGGGAGCTCCACCGAAGACTCCAATGGCCGCGGCCGCATGCGTTCCCCAGCGTTCCCCCACTCAGTACAGCGCTTCGTGGCCCCATGGGGAGCTCCAACGAAAACCCTGTTGGCCGCGACCGCACGCGTCTCCCCTACCCGTTACGGCACACTCCTAACATGGTTCGTGGTCTCATGGGGAGCTCCATCGAAAGCGGTACCCACAATGCGGCACTCACAACTGCATGTGGTTAAGCCCTTCGCCTGGATAATTAGGGTTTTCGTTTCCCCCCCCGCTTCGCATATTTTTCCACACTGTTCTGGGAACCGACGTTGATTTGTGTCTGCGTTTATGTTCCCTCCTGAAAACGTTCGGAGGACCGCGCGGAGTTCTTGGATCGGCGCTGGACCACCCATCCCCGGCGCGCGGAGCACGCCAGGGGCGGCGCCCCCGAGGCGCTGCCAGGGGCGCCCAGCGCCGATCCGAGAGATCCGCGCGGAGCTCCGAGCGTTTCTGTTTGAGCATCTTTTGTTTCCGTGGATATCTCCCCTGCCATCGCTCGGACGTTCATTCCCCGTGCATTTTCCAGCCTCGTGCGTGTATCGGGGAGACGTAAGACCCGGGTACGGGGGACTCGGAAATCCCCGACGAGGTCGTCAAAAAAATGACGAGGCCGAGCCTGCATTTTGACGAGGCCTCCCGCTGCAGACATCCCACGAAACTCCTCCTCGTCAAAATCCGAGTCGCGGTCGTCAAAAAACGATGGCGAACCCGAGTCCCGGCAAACCCGGGTCTTACGCTCCCCCGAGTGTATTCATTCACGAGATGACCCAATCTGCTCCTCGATGGTCCTCGCCAAGTGCACACGCCCGAGCGGCGATGCCGAGCTCCGTGCAACGGTGGTCGGAAGAGAAGTGTGTGGAAGCCTGACGTGGGAGGGCGTTGGAAGCAGACTCGGGCTTCTGCCCGCCCCCCGAAAAAGGAGGGAAGAGGGACCACCGCTCGACTCTGGAAGCAGGAAGGCGCCCAGAGCCTATTGGGACCTGGGCACCCCAGAATACCAACCTTCCATAGGGGAACGAAGAATTATTGAAGGGGAACTGGGACACACAAATAAATACACACAAATAAAAATATCCCCCATATTTTCCCATATTTTCCTGGGAGTCGACAATTAATTGTGTCTGTGTGTTTCTTCCCCTCCTGATATATCATTATAACAACTCGGAGGTCCGCGCAGATTTCTTGGATCGGCGCTGGGGCCCTCTGGCTCGGCTCTGGTGGCGCCTCCGGCGCCGCCCGCCCCTGGCGCGCGGAGCGCGTCAGGGATGCTTTTTTTTGTCATTGTTTTGTTCCCCCCACCCCACGACCGGCGTGCATGCCCTGTGTTTTTTTTATTGTTTCTTTTGTGTGCTTTTCCTTTCCTTCTTGTCTTGTGCTGTTTTTTTGTTGTTGTTCCTTCGTGTCTCAGTTTCTTGTTGGTTGTTTTATTGTTTCCTTCTCGTCTTTTGCTCCTTTTTTTTTGTTGTGTGTGTGTGTGTGTTTTTGTGTGTTTTTATCGCTCCCTGCAGCGTGGCCCCCAAGCACTCCTCTTGGGCGCCAGGGCGAGCTCCAGGCTGCCGTCCCCCAGCGGCGCCTCGGCGGCCGGCAGGGGCCGCTTGCCCGCCAGCCGCCGGCGCGGCGCCTCCGGGTGCGCCTCCTGGCGGCGGGGCCGGCGGGGGGCGCGCAGCAGCAAGGGCTCCTAGCTTCGCGCTTCGCGCTCCTCGAAGCGCGAAGCGCGAACAACTTCGCGCTCTCGCGCCGCCCCCCAAAGGGAGGAAAGGAGGACGAGGAGTAGGGGGAGAAGGAACGAGGACCGTGAAGCGCGAAGCGCGAATAACTTCGCGCCCTCGTGGGGGCCCTTGAGCAGGCAGTCCATCGTGATCGCGTCGAGGCCACCTCCCACGGCGGGCACCTTCGCCAAGGAGCGAAAGCGTGGCCGCGGGCCGCGAGGCGACCGGCCCCAAGCCTCCTAGGGGCCCTGGGGGTGGGCGCGCCGCCGCACTCTCACCGCCTATGGGCCCCCGATGGCAAGCCCGCGCGACACCCCCGGGCAGGGTGGGCCATCAGGCCCCCATCCGCGATCCATGGGCGATTGGGGGTTGATCCCCCCTGCGCTCATCCCGTTGTGTAAAACAGGGCTAGGATCGGGATAAATCGCTCCAGAGCGTTCCGGAGCGCTCTCAGAGCGTTCCGGAACGCTCTGAGAGCGGCCGCGGCGCCCAATACATCCTCCAAGCCCGCCGATTCTCAGAGATTTCGAGTTATCCCGATCGGATTTTGTCCCGATCTTCGCGTCGTTTGATTGTGGCTCTTGGACCAGGCCTCGGGGCTCCGGCTGCTGCTCGGGACTGACCAGGCGCCCCTGGAACGCCCTCTGCTGGGCGCAGCCGCTGGGCGGCCGGCAGCCCGAGGCCGACAGAGCCGCCGAGACGAGGAGTTAAACCCGACCCCCCCAAACCTCCGCTCCTTCACTAAGGGGGCCCCAGAACACACAAACAAATACACACAAATAAACAGATTCCCCATATGTTCCTATATTTTCTGGGCTTTTGTCTTCCCCCCCACTTCCCATATTTTCCCATATTTTCCTGGGAAGCGACGATTAATTGTGTCTGTGTGTTTTTTCCCTCCTGATTCACCACGCGATGAGGCGGGGGCCGGCTCGGATTTTGACGGGGAGGCAAGGCCCTGAACTCCCAAGGCTCTGCTCGCGAATGCCGGCTCAAACCCGTCGCGGTCTCCGACCCGGCCGGGCCGCGGCTCCCAGCATCGAGAGGGGAGGGAGTGGGAGAGCAAGCCAGAATCGGTACGTCGGATCGGCTGAGATCGGCGGCCGAGTCGGGAGAAACCGAATCGGCGGAAACCGGCAGACTAGCAGGCCTTCCTTGAGAAATCGGAGTTCACATCATCATCCGAAGCCGAAATCGAATCGGACTCTATCGAAATGAGCCCTGGGCGGGGGTCCCATGCCCCTCGGCTTTTGCAGTTCCCGTCGTACTTCAGGACCAGTGTTCGCCCGACACGCCAGCAAATTGCCGAACGGGAGGGCCCGACACGCGAAACACCTTCAATTCCGGTACTTTCTTGGTTACACAAAGAAACTTGGACGCCCGAGTTATCCGGGGTAACTCGGGTCCGGGGTAACTCGGGTTTGGGTTCCCGGAAAACGAACCCGAGTTAACCCTGACCCGAATTATCCCTGATGATTCGGGGCTCTGGACGCCCGAAATATCCGGGCTAACTCGGGTCCGGGGTAATTCGGGTTCGGATTCCCGAAAAACGAACCCGAGTTATCCCTGACCCGAGTTACCCCTGACGATTCGGGGCTCTGAGAAACCACGCCGCAAACAGAAGCTTTTGGCCCCTCCGCGCGGACTTCTCGGATCTGCGCCCGACGACCCCCCGGACGCGAGGAGCGCGCGAGGGGCGCCGCCTGAGGCGCCGCCAGGGGGGGGGCCAAGCGCCGACCCGAGAAATCCGCGAGGAGCGCCAAAAGCTTGTGCGCACGCGAGAATCATCAAAACAATGATCGAAACCTTGTCCCCAGACTGTTTTGGTGACTGTGCTGGAAGACTCCTCCTGTGAAGACTAAAAGCCGGTTGGAAAACATCGCACCCCTCGGCCCGCCGGAGCTCCTTCTCGGGCGTCTCCAGGTCCGCCACCGCGGCCAGGGCCGCCGCGGTGGTGCCGCTGGCGGCCGAGGCCACGGGCCTCCTCTTGGCGCTGGCAGCCCGCGAGGAGGAGGGCGTCGCAGAGGTGGCCTGCCGGGCGGCCCGTGCGAGGTTCGAGTGAAGGGGCCCTGGGACACACAAATGAATACACACAAATAACAGGATGTCCGATCTTGTCCCATATTTTCTGGGTTTTTGTCTTCCCCCCCCACTTCCCATATTTTCCAATATTTTCCGGGGGATCGACGATTAATTGTGTCTGTGTGTGTTTTTCCCTCCTGATCGAGGTGGGCTGCTGGGCAGTGAGCTCACCTGAGCAGGGCCGGGGGTCAGGTCTGCAGAGCACCCCGAGCGGACGTCGAGGGGCGCAACCAACCTGTTCGGTCAAGCCGAAATGGATGCACCACACCCGGCGTCAAGCCAACACTTTGGACATACTTCGAAGCGAATGTGTGGATTTTGTGCATCTTCGTCGGCTTAACAGGCGAGGCACCTTGACGTCCTTTTCTTGGTGGTCCTGCAGAGGAAGGCGCTGTCTGACCCTCGGCCCTACTCAAAGAGCTCACTGAAGGCAAACAACTATGAGGGCATTTCTTGCTGCCTTCAGTGAGCAAAACATTCTGCGTTCAGCGGAAACGATTTTGCCTTCGGTGAGCTCATCGCCGTCGGGAAGGCAATGTTTTGGCTTCCAGTTGCTTTTTCGCAGACGTGGCCTGCTGGGCAAAGGATCTTCGCAAGATTTCGGGGCCCGCGATGGTTCCCATCAGAGAGGCCTCCTGGATGGGGCCCGAGTCGGTAAGGTCGGAGGACCGCGCCAGATCGCCAATGCATCGCCGATGCATCGGCGACGTCGGTGTGACGCATCGGTGCCGACGGCGCGGAGAAAGTCGGGCTCGGCATCGCCGATGCATCGGCGACGCGGCGCGATCCTCCGACTTATTTGCTCGGACCCCATCTGGGAGGCCCGGAGCCACGGGCCTTCCGGGAAGGCCAATCGTCCCGACGGCCGCCTGAAGCCAGAACTGTCGGCCGGGAACGAGCGGAAGAAGGCCCCGGTTACATCGGCGGATCCCCCACCTCCTCTCGGGCGGGTGGCACTGGGGGCTGGCCCAAATTGGGGATGAAGGGCCCAAAGGGGCCCTTTCGGGTCCCTCTGGCTCCAAAAACAGGCCTGGAAAGGCCCCTTTAGGGCCCTTTTCTTCACCCCCCATTTGGGTCACCCCCCATCGCGACCCGCCCGATTCTCTCGTTACGAACAAGCACGACGGAAATATTCCTTGCTATTGCTGTTGCTTGTACTTTTCGGCCTCCGGGGGCCCACTCCGGGCCCCGCGGCCGTCAAGCAACGACCTGGGAAGGAACACCAGCCCTGGGGAAGGGGTCCAGCTCTCCTGGGGTCCACGTTAGGAAGAACATCAGACGTGGGAGTTCTGGGTCTAGCCATATTCGCGCCCCTGGGCTCGATGGGGAGGGGGGATAAAAGCATGGACGAGGGACGGACGAGTGGAGGAGAGACGAGAGAAGCGTATAGAGAGGGAGGGGGGAGCAGGGCAAAGTAGCGCGACCATCTTCACTAACCTTGGACCAATTACGTGCACGAGCATGTGAAACGAGATCTGACATGCGCACTCGGCATGCCGAAGGAAACCGCCTTGCGCTCCGAATGCACGTGGACTTGCGGGCCTGCGCGCTAAACGAAACAAGCAACATATGCCAACCTGGGCCAGCAAGCCATGCCCCATGGCCGTTGACGAAACATGTCCACTGTCGTGTTTGGCGAAACACCACGACTGCCGCACATGCTCCTCCTCCTCCTCCTCCTCCTACTCTTCTTCCGTCTCCTCCTCCTCCTCCTCCTCCTCCTCCTCCTTCTCCTCGTCCTCCTCCTCTCCCCCCTCCTCCTCCTCCCTGCTCCCCCCTCGCTATCGCCTCCTCGCTCCCCCTCTCCGCCTGGCACCGAGCGTGAGCTCGGCGCCACCAGCAATAAGACGACAAAACAGGAGGGTGCAATCTGTAGACCCCCCCCCAGAACTCTGATTACGTTATTTGTTTACGATGCGGACCCCCAGGGGGCTAGACCCCTTCCCCCCCGTCCCATACCCCGAGCTATTTTTTGACGGTTCGGGGGGCCAGTGAAGCCCCCCAGAAGCCCAACATGGCGAGAACCTCCCTGTCATTTTTTGTTGTCACAACGAGAAGGGGCACGAGAGCCCGTAATCCAATCGGTAAGTCGGATCGGCGATCGACATGAATCGGATCAGCGGAAAACGGCAGCCAAGTCGGGAGAAGTCGGATCGGCGGAAATCGGCAGGCTAGTAAGGTCCCCTAATGAGAAATCGGAATCCAAATCGGAATCCGAAATCGTATCGGAAGCCATCGAAATCGAACCGAATCGACTCGGAGGGGTCGAAATGAGCCCTGCACAATCGGTGGGGGTGCACCTCGGGGAAGCGGCGCTGGAGGCGCCGCCAGGGAACTCCAGCGCCACTCCGAGAAATCCGCGTGAGCCTCCGACAATTTGTGCTTCTGCGCAGTCCTCGTGCTGCCACGGCGTCATCACCTGGCCACGGCGGGCCTGGCCCACAACCACACATCCCACGACGCGTGGACGCAAGGACCGACCCGAACACCCGAGCCCCTCCTGAGCCCCTGAGCGGGTATTCCTTCGGCGACTTGACTTGATGGGCAAATGTAAAGGGGCCCCAGGACACACAAATAAATACACACAAATCAAAAGATTCCCCATATTTTCCCCATATTTTCTGGGTTTTTGTCTTCCCCCCCACTTCCCAGATTTTCCCATATTTTCTGGGAAATCGACGATTAATTGTGTCTGTGTGTTTTTTCCTCTCCTGAAAATGTTCCACCACCACTACCATATGTACGACCGGGGAGAAGGAAGGATGATGAGACCCTCCTCCTCCTCCTCCTCCTCCTCCTCCTCGTCCTCCTCCACTGCCCATGGTAGTGGTGGTGGAACATGGGCCCATCGTGTCTGCCTCCCGAACGGCGATCCTGCCCACGCCCGCCTGGGGCCCAGGGCCGGAATGGCCGCCTCTGCACCAGACATCGGGCGCCGCGGGAAGAGGAGAGAGCCGCGCGGGGGTGGGGGGCGGCCGGTGGGAGCGGAGCGAGCGCTGGGGATTTCTGGGGGAGTGAGAGGGCCGACGGGGGGGAGGGGAAGGATGAGAATTAGAGGCCTGGCAAGTATCGAACAGGAGATCGACTGCACAGTTGATGTGCCCCAATTCTTTAATGTCGGATCTAGGAAAAAGACGACAGATGTTCGGTAGATTTGCGGAACATTATGCGTAATGTTCGTAGATTCGACGAACGAGGCAATTTTGGGGTACATCCATTCTGTACGACTTGACCAACAACGAAATAACATCCTTCAAGAACATGAAACCATCCGCCGGCCAAACTGATGCACAACAACATCCAACAGACACGAAGAACATTAAGGTACCCTCCCCAAACCGACCTCAATCTTATACGTCGGTCCGACCGTAATCAATCTCCAAATCGAAACCTGGGGTCCGAGTGTCGCGCCGCCTCGCCGATGCATCGATGATTTATCGGCGGCGCCGGCGAAGATCGGCGTCGTCAGTGTGGAAAATCGGGGCCCCACACCGAGCCACCAGACGCCTCGGCGATGCGGCGTGGTCCACCTACATCATTCAATGGGACTCAAAATGCACGAATTAGTTATCGCAACTCCAGGATTCCGGATATTTTCAATATTTTGCGGAGGTTCGCTTTCCCTTCCACTTCCCATATTTTATGTTTCAACCATCCTGTGGAGTTGGGCCCCGTTTTGAAGAGTCAACGCCTCGCGTTCCCCAGCCTCTTCCCTCCAATCATCACCGTCATCGTCATCATCATCAAGGCGTGTCTAGCGCCCAGCACAGCGCTTCGTGGCCCCGTGGGGGGCTCCACCGAAGGCCCCGGTGGCAGAACTCGCATGCGGTTCCTGCGCCCAATGCATCGTTTCGTGGCTCGATAGGGAACCCCACCGAAGGTCCCACTGGCGGAACTCGCCTTCAGTTCCTGCGCCCAATACGGTTTTCACTTGCCCCACAGGGAACCCCACCGAAGGTCCTAGTGGCGGGACGAACTCGCATGCGGTTCGCACGTTTCGTGGCCCGATGGAAAACTCCACGGACGGTCCCAGCGGCGGAACTCGCATGCGGGTCATGCGTCGAGTGCAGCGTTTCGTGGTCATAAAAGGGAGCTCCACAGAAAATCCCAGTGGCGGAATTCGCATGCGTATCCTGCGCCCAGTACGCTGTTTCGTTCCACCGAAGGTCCCAGTGGCAGTGGCGGAACTCACATGCTATTATTGCATGCTATTATTGCGTCCGGTGCAGCGTTTCGTGGCCTCGTAGGGACCTCGGCCGAAGAATCCACTTGCAGAATTCGCATGCGGTTCCTGCACCCGCTGCAGCGTCTCGTGGTCCCGTAGGGAGTTCCACCGAAGGTCTCACTGGCGGAACTCGCAGGCGGTTCCTGCGCCCAATACAGCGTAACGTGGCCCCATCGGGGGCACACCTTTCACGCGCTTCGTGGCCCCATAGCCCTACAGGGAACCTTACCGACGCTCCAGGGATCCGATGTCGTGATTTTTTCAATCCCCAGTGGCCCCCGGTTGTCCCGACAGCTTCCCTAGAGCAGCTGGAGCAGTTTGCGACGCGCGCGAAGCGGCGCCGGAGGGAGGCGACGGCCCTCGCCAGGGAGCTGGGCTTCGCCGAGTTTATCCGCGAGGCCTGACCATGGGAGCGGCCCGCCCGAGCCTCGCCTTCTCTCGACGGTCTGACATTTTGGCCCCGCGCCGTGGACGACCCGCGCGCGTCGCTGGGACCCTCTCGGAACGACCAGCGCGCGTCGCGGAAACTCCATTTTGCGCTCTGCCCAGCGCCTCGCTCGCCGGTCGTTTTTCTGCCCAGCAGCCAGAGCCTTGCCCGCCGCAGTCGACCAGCAAGCTCTCTTTGCTCCGAGCAACGGACGGCCCGCGCGCGTCGCTGGGACCCCTTCGGGGCGACCGGCGCGCGTCGCGGGGACTCCGCGCTGCGCTGCGCCCGCAACCTTGGACTTTGGAGTGCGCGGGCACAGAAGGAGAAACGATAAGTAAGGAAAGACGGTTTAGCTTTGTCGCTACCCCTCGTCAAACAGATCACGGACAGAGGGAGCCACTCCGAAGGCCCTATAAGGAGTTCCACCGAAGGCTCCAGTGGCAGCGCCCGCGTGCCGCCGCCATTCCACTTTGGCACATCTCTCACACGGTTTGTGCCCCCATATAGAGCTCAACCGAAGACGATATTCACAGATGCGGTACTCACAGCTGCATATGGTTGGGTCCTTCGCCAGGCTGATCACCTGGGGATCGAGGATTATCTGTGTCTGTATGTGTTTTCCCAATCATCCTGTGGTGCTGGGTCTTTGTTTTGAGGAGACAGCGCCCCACGCTCCTGCTCCTCACCCCGCTCCTCCCATCCCTGCCTCTGCTCTCCGCACCAAGTACAGCGTTTCGTGGCCCCGTAATGAACTCCACCGAAAACCCCAGTGGCAGCGCCCGCATGCAATTCCACCTCCATGTCGGTGCACCCCTCACACGTCTCGTGGCGCCATAGGGAGCTCCAAGGAAGGCCCCAGTGGCAGCACCCGCATGCGGTTCCACCTTCCATTTCGGTGCACATTCACACGTTTCGTGGCCCCTCAGGGAGCTCCACCGAGGGCCCTAGTGGCAGCGCCCGCATGCGGTTCCACCCTCCATCTCGGCGAATCCCTCGCACGCCTCGTGGCCCCATAGGAAGCTCCACCGAAGGCCCCATCGGCAAAGCCCGCATGCGGTTCCACCCCCATTTCGGTGGACCACCCACACGCTTCGTGGCCCCATAGGGAGCCCCACCGAAGGCTCCAGTGGCAGCTCCCGCATGCAGCTCCAGCCTCCATTTCGGCACACCCCTCACACGTTTCTCGTGATCCAATTCATAAGGAGCTGAACTGAAGGCCCCGAAAGCAGCGCCCGCATGCAGTTGCACCCTCCGTTTCGGTGCACCCTCCGTGTCGTGGACCCATGGGCTCCACCGAAGGCTCCAATGGCAGCGCCCGCATGCGGTTCCAACCTCCATTTCGGCGAATCCCTCGCACGCCTCGTGGCCCCATAGGAAGCTCCACCGAAGGCCCCAGCGGCCAAGCCCGCATGCAGTTCCACCCCCATTTCGGTGGACCACCCACACGTTTCGTGGCCCCATAGGGAGCCCCACCGAAGGCTCCAGTGGCAGCTCCCGCATGCAGCTCCAGCCTCCATTTCGGCACACCCCTCACACGTTTCTCGTGATCCAATTCATAAGGAGCTGAACTGAAGGCCCCGAAAGCAGCGCCCGCATGCAATTGCACCCTCCGTTTCGGTGCACCCTCCGTGTCGTGGCCCCATGGGCTCCACCGAAGGCCCCAATGGCAGCGCCCGCATGCGGTTCCAACCTCCATTTCGGCGAATCCCTCGCACGCCTCGTGGCCCCATAGGAAGCTCCACCCAAGCCCCCAGCGGCAACGCCCGCATGTGGTTCCACCCCCAGTCTGGCATAACCCTTTACACGCTTCGTGGGCCACACCTCAGGCCCCAATCTCAGGGCCCGCATGCGGTTCCACCCGCCATTTCGGCGCACCCCTCACACGGTTCGTGGCCCCACAGGGCGCTCCACCGAGGGCTCCAGTGGCAGCGCCCGCATGTGGTTCCACCACCTTTTGGTGCACCCCTCACATGTTTGGCGGCGCCATAGGGAGCTCCACCGAAGGCCCCAGTGGCAGCGCACGCGTGCGGTTCCACCTTCCATTTCGGTGCACCCCTGAAACGTCTCGTGGCCCCATCGGGAGCTCCAAGGAAGGCCCCAGTGGCAGCGCCCGCATGCGGTTCCACCCTCCATTTCGGCGAATCCCTCGCACGCCTCGTGGCCCCATAGGAAGCTCCACCGAAGTCTCCAGCGGCAACGCCCGCATGCGGTTCCACCCCCATTTCGGTGGAGCACTCACACGTTTCATGGCCCAATCGGGGGCTCCACCTTCTATTTCCGTTAACCCCTCACACGTGTCGTGGCCCCATGACGTCTACCGAAAGCCCCAAGGGCAACGCTCGCATGCGGTTCCACCCCCATTTCGGCGAACCTCTCACACGTTCCGTGGCCCTATAGGGAGCTCCGCCGAGGGCCCTAGTGACAACGCCGGCATGCGGTTCCACCCTCCATTTCGGAACACCCCTCACACGTTTCGTGGCCCCATAGGGAGCTCCACCGAGGGCCCCAGTGGCAGCGCCCGCATGCATGCAATTGCACCCTCCACTTCGGTACACCCCATTCCGGCGAACCTCTCACACGTTTTCGTGGCCCCATGCGGGGGCTCCACCGAAAGTTTCAGTGGCTCCTGTTGCCGGCCCCCCTCCACCGAAAGTCTCCGTGGCTCCTGTTGCCTCCCGATGCGCGAATGCCCCAGTGGCAGCGCCCGCATGGCGGCCCCGCCACATTTCGGCACACCCTTCACTCGCGTCGTGGCCCCATGAGGAGATCCACCGAAGGCGATACTCACAACGAGGGTACTCACAACTGGATATGGTTGGGTCTGTCGCCAGGCTAATGTCCTCCTGAATCATCTACCTGGATCCCAGCTGGGATGTCCACAGGAAAAGGACTGGGGGGGAGCTGGTACATGGGGATGGACGCGAGCCGCTGGGTGGCGGGGAGCTGACGGGGGAGGAGGGGGAGGATAGATACAGCCAACCCGTCGAAGAAGGGCGCACGATAAGGATGCAAGGGCCTTGGAAGGCCATGTCGACACTCTGCGAGCGAGGCGCGGCCAGCGAGAGTGGCCGAGGATGGGCCGAGAGGGAAGGGTGCAAAGGCAACCTTGGAACGTTGCTGCTCATCCGTACTATGAGGGTTGACTGTAAGACGAGAACGGCGTAATGATGCGATTGGCCCAGGATGCGCTCTGGTCATTCCGGAGTATCGCACGGTTCTCGTGTCTTCAGCCCCTGCGGAGCACTAGGAAATTTAGGATATCCAAGACATGTGAGACATCCTGGAGCGTATCCGTGTCATGACCTCCTGCTTGTCTGAGAGGAGGTGAAGATGTCCCCGGAGGCCTACAGTGACCCTCTGGGCGGGCCAGACACTTTCAACAAAACAAATGGAAGGGATGAACTCGGTCCTTCGGGTCCTAACTCTAGGTCGGGCATCTCCCCCTACTAAGGCGGATTCTGGACGAAAAAAATTGGAGATAGTCAAAAATACCCAGAAAGAGCACTCACAAATGGTAACACACATCGTCCCCACACTATGTTTTGACGATTATTGTTTTCTCCTCCTGTAGAGGGGCAGGTCCGACGTAAGGCAGGGATGCACTCGGCCCTTCGGGCCCCAACTCGGGCCTCCCGCGGCCGAACCCGGCCGATCCGGGGGGCACCCCTTGGCACGCCCCCCTGGCGAGGCGCAGCTGCGGGAGCGCGCCCCTCGGGCGAGGCGCAGCTGCAGGAGCGCGCCCCGGAGGGGGGACAAAAACCCCTCGTGGCTGAGGGGAAGAGCGCAGAACTCCTCCTCCTCCTCCTCCTCCTCCTCCTCCTCCTCACGTCGTGATGTTTTGCAGCGTGGTCCACTGGAGACCTGGAGACCCCATCCCCAGGACAGGCCCTCATCCAGCAGAACATCTGTTCGCCAGTCCTGGGGCCCAGCGAGGCCGAAAATGACGCAAGCATCGCCCTTCCCATGTTTCGCAACGAGAAGCGGTGGGGAGGCAAAGGGGGGGAGTTGGATGGCTCTTCGTGGTGTCGGGCGTCGTCTTCCAACAAGCCGCCAGCTGGGGCGGCCATCGTCGGCGATACATCGCCGATAGGCTCCTGATAGCGAAGCCGCACGCCCTTGGGCGGGCTGGGCTGTCAGGCCCCTATCGGGGATGAGTGGGCGTTGGGGTGTCGAAGCCTCGCTCCGTGAACCCGTACCCCCCCTCGTAACGCTGCGCCTGAAGGCTCTTCTTGGCCGCGAGCGTCGTCCTCGTAGGACACAGCCGGGGCAACATCAATCAACATCCAATCGGAACATCGGATCGGACCGGATCAGGGCTGGACCCAAACGTTGTCTGTCGTTTTGGTTTCGTTTTGTTGTTCGTTTTGCTTTTCCTGTCTTCCTGTACCTCTTTACCATAACAAAAACAAAGTACACCTGAGAAAACCAATCAGTGAATGATTTGAACACTAGTCATATGAATATTGAGATCGATTGTGAGATCGATGATGTAATGGATCGTGTAATCAATAGAGGACGATTGTAAGGTCGATCGTGAGACCGAGAGGGAAATCGTTTCAATGAAATCGATAGGGTGATCGATCGCGAGATCGCTCGTGCGATCTCTAATGAGATCGCGTGTGAGATCGATAGTGAGATCGATTGTGAGATCCATGGTGAGATCGATAGAGAGGTGGGAAATGAGATCGATGGTGAGACCGATCGATAAGAAGATCGACCAAAAACCCGGGAATCTGGGAACCTCGCCGCCCACCGAAATCGGCCGGGAACCCGGAACCGGGAACCCGGGAACCCGGAACCAGGAACCCGAGAACCCAGCGTGCGACCAAAATCGGCGGGGAACTTTCGCCAAATCCTTCAACTTCCGCGAGGACCCTTCAGTGCAAGCACTGGTTGGGGAAACGCAGCCGAAGTCCAGCAAAGCAGCGTTTAGGTCCACTCCTGGACCGGAACGTGCGTCGGACCGGGCTGCATCGGCACGGAACCGAACTCGAAGCGGATCGGCCGCGCCAAGATCCACAACAACGCCACGCGCACATCGAGCCGCATCGGATCGTCGGCACATCGGATCGGGCCTGCCGACATCGGCGTCGAATCGGATCGAATCGGATCGAAACGGACCCCAGCCGCGTGGGGGGCGGCCATCCGGCCTTGGCCGCGCGCCGGGCGCGCCCGTCGCCTGGCGCGGCGCCCACAGCCTCTCCCTCCCTGCAGCTTCCTGCCTGCAGGGCCGCAAGGCGCCCACGCTCCCCCCGGCCGGCCACGGTCGGGTCCGCCCCCCGCTGCGTCCTGCTTGCTTGGCCGGCTCCGTCGGTTCCCGGCGTTCGCCCGGCCGCAGAAGGTCTTCCGGCAGCTGCGCCTCGCCGTGACCCAAAGTATGGCCCGACCACCAACAAAAATCTCCCTTTCGCTGCGAAGCAAGCACGACGCGTTTTTGGGCCCATCTCGGCTTCTGGGGGCCCTCCTCCTCCTTCTCCTCCTCCTCCTTCTCCTGCTCCTCCTCCTCCTCCTCCTCCTCCTCCTCCTCCTGCTCCTCCTCCTCCTGCTCCTCCTGGAGGTGGAGGAGGAGGAGGAAGAGGAGGTTTCTGGGGGCCCTCCTCGCTTGGGCCCGGGGCCGTCCAAACAACAGCTCAGGACGGGCCACGCTGCGCCAAAAGTCACGGCGGCTCCTGCCCGGAGCCCGGAGGCCTGCGTGGCCCGTGGAAGAGGCCCCTCTCGGGCGGGTGGTAGTGGGGTTACCCGAGTGGGGGGTGAAGGAAAAAGGGCCCGAAAGGGGCCCTTTAGGACTTCTTGTGGAGCCAGCAGGGGCCAAAAAGGGGCCCTAAAAGGACGGCTTCAGGGTGCTTGCTATTCTCCCCCTTCCATTTGGTCCACCCTCCCTTTACCGCCCGCCCGAGTCGCTCTCTCTTCTCCCTCTCCGCGGGCGCCCTCTCCTGTGCTTGTGTGCTTGGGAAGGTTAATTACCCATCCTTGCCATCGGTTTCGACTGTACAGTCAAAGCTGATGATAAGGATGCGCCATAAGGATGCAAGCCCCTTAGACGCCCATGGCGAAGCTTTTTGAGCGGGGCTGGCCATCGGAAACAGTCAAGGATGGATCGAGGAAGCAAAACTGCAAGGGTACCCTTGGGAAGGTTGCCCATCCGTGCCAACGGTTTCGACTGTAAGCCAAGGATGCCGCGATCTGACCATCAGCAGCACACGGCGGACGCGAAGGCCAGGCTGAAACGACGCCAATTAGATGCGCATGCACGATTGTCTTGGCAGCAGTGCAGAGTACGCTCGCGTGCCAAGAGCCAACGACCTCGCGCAGCAGGGACAGCCTGCGCACCCGAAGCTACGGGCGAGGGTCTGCAACGGGAGGAGGAGGAGGAGGAGGAGGAGGAGGAGGAGGAGGAGGAGGAGGAGGAGGAGGAGGAGGAGGAGGAGGAGGAGGAGGAGGAGGAGAGGTCGACACGACCGACTGCCCATGTCCAAGCTTGTCCGAAGCGTGGCGGCCCAGCAAAGTCGAGCCTGCAGCGCCAGCAGGTAAGCTGCTCGCTCGCACAAGCCTGAGACAACGATGTTTTCTTGTCCCCTCCTGCCCAACAAATCTTTTTCAGAAACGTTGCCCCGATCCCTGGACACCGCACTGTTCAGATTCCCAAAGATCCGATGCATGGCCTTTTTTCAGTACACGGTCCATGGGAAGCCAGGCCCGTTCCCCCGGAGCCGGGTTTTCATCCCGAGTCGTTGTCTGACGGCCCCAAGGCCTGGGGTCCCTTTAGGGCCTCTCTTGGGGCACAAACTGTGCGCCTCTCTTCGCTGCCCCCATTTGAAGGGGCCCAAGGACACACAAATAAATATACACACACACGCAAATAACAGGATTCCCACATTTTCATATAATTTCTGGGTTTTTGTTGTCTTCCCCCCACTTTTCATATTTTCGCATATTTTCCTGGGGATCGACGCTGAATTGTGTCTGTTTTTTTTTTTTTGTTCCTCCTGACCACTGCTCGGCGCCCGCGTGCGGCAAGTGCATGTCGTGCCGGAGCGGCCGCGCAGGCTGGGGGGGCCGCCCCGCACGGGAGGCGCGGGAGGGGAGGGGGGGAGGAGGAGGAGGAGGAGGAGGAGGAGGAGGAGGAGGAGGAGGAGGAGGAGGAGGAGGAGGAGGAGGAGGAGGAGGAGGAGGAGGAGGAGGAGGGAAGCGGCCACTCTGGGGAGGCGCGAGGGCGCTCGTCGGCAGGGGGATCGGAGGCCTCTGGGATGGGTTCCTGGAGGGCGGGAGGGCTTCTGAGGCCCCTCCACGGCCCTGGCGTTGGTTCAGATCCACACTGGGGGTGCCCCATTCCGTTAATCCTCCGCCTCCGTTTCCTCCTCCTCCTCCTCCTCCTCCTCCTCCTGCTTTCCTTTCACCTCGTCCTCCTCCCCCTCCTCCTCCTCCTCTTCCTCCTCCTCCGCCTCCTCCGCCTCCTCCTCTGCCTCCTCCCCGCGCCACGCTCACGCTCTCTGTTCGGCGCCTGTGCGGCTGGTTCGTGTCGCGACGACCCTGGCATTGGTCCCTGACATCGCGCGGACCGGACCGTTCAACGATCGGTGGTTTTTCGATCGCCAGATCGTTCCGTGTTGGCACATCCTGGGCCACTGACGGCGCTCCATCTCGAACGCCCGCGGCGGGGCTGCTGCGGCGTCAACGTGGCATGAATCTACTGCAGATGGCGTTGGGACGGAGACACAGGGTTTGAACTACTGGTGCATTGGCGATTTCGTGGATTGTTTTCGTTTTGATGTTGTTTGCGAGCCCCGGGAGAACATCGGGATCCGAAGCGACCCCATCGCCGATGCATCAACGACCCGGTCGATTTGATCTGGGCGGCATGGAGCAACCCAGCCGCAGCTCGAACCTCGTCATCCGAATTGTTCCCGTGCCAATACTGGGGCCCCCGGCGGCCGTTCGGGACGATCAGGGCCCCCCGGAACGCTCTCGCCGAGGCGCAGCTGCTGGAGCGCAGCGCAAGACGGGGAAACCTTTCGAAACCAGCGAAATTATCCGAACGCATCCGAACTCCAACCTCGTCCTCCCCAGATCTCCGATGGCGTGATTACCTAACAGCGAAGACTGATAGGCTTCTAGTGGGCTCAAGAGAGAGCATCTTGACTCCCCAGGGGGTCTGGGCGGATGTCGGGGAGAATCCGGGGACTCCCCGGGACTCCCCAAGGGGGTCTGGGCGGGTGCCGGGGAGGATCCGGGGACTCCCCAGAACACCATTCCCAGGCCACATTTTGAATGCCCGGAGCCAGCTGTAAGCCACTTCGTGTTCTTCGTGTTCCCAGAACACCATCCCCAGGCCACATTTTGAATGCCCGGAGCCAACTGTAGGCCACTTCGTGTTCTTCGTCTTCCCAGAACACTATTCCCAGGCCACATTTTGAATGCCCGGAGCCAATTGTAGGCCACTTCGTGTTCTTTGTGTTCCCAGAACACCAGTCGCAGGCCACATTTTGATTGCCCGGAACCAACTGTGGGCCACTTCGTGATTTTCGTCTTCCCAGAACACAATTCCTGTACCATATTTTGATTGCCCGGAGCCAACTGTGGGCTACTTCGTGATTTTCGTGTTCCAATGCCCGAGCTGAGGCAGGCTGAGGCCGAGGCAGGCTGAGGCCGAGGCAGGCTGAGGCTGAGGCTGAGGCAGGCTGAGGCTGAGGCAGGCTGAGGCTGAGGCTGAGGCTGATGCAGGCTGAGGCTGAGGCTGAGGCTGAGGCCGAGGCTGAAGGCAGCTGAGGCTGAGGCTGAAGCAGGCTGAGGCTGAGGCTGAGGCAGGCTGAGGCTGAGGCTGAGGCAGGCTGAGGCTGAGGCAGGCTGAGGCTGAGGCTGAGGCAGGCTGAGGCTGAGGCTGAAGGGCTGAGGCTGAGGCTGAAGCAGGCTGAGGCTGAGGCTGAGGCAGGCTGAGGCTGGCTGAGGCAGGCTGGCTGCAGGCTGAGGCTGAGGCTGAGGCTGCAGGCTGAGGCTGAGGCAGGCTGATGCTGAGGCTGAGGCTGAGGCTGAGGCTGAGGCTGAGGCTGAGGCTGAGGCAGGCTGAGGCTGAGGCTGAGGCCGAGGCAGGCTGAGGCTGAGGCCGAGGCAAGCCGAGGCAGGCTGAGGCTGAGGCTGAGGCTGAGGCTGATGCTGAGGCAGGCTGAGGCTGAGACAGGCTGAGGCTGAGGCTGAGGCAGGCTGAGGCTGAGGCAGGCTGAGGCTGAGGCCGAGGCAGGCTCAGGCCGAGACAGGCTGAGGCTGAGACTGAGGCTGAGGCTGAGGATGAGGCCGAGGCAGGCCGAAGCTGAGACAAGGTGAGGCTGAATGGGGGGGGGGGGGGGGGAGGAGGGGAGGCTGAGGCAGGCTGAGGCCGAGGCAGGCTGAGGCCGAGGCAGGCTGAGGCTGAGGCAAAGGCAAGCCGAGGCAGGCTGAGGCTGAGGCTGAGGCTGAGGCTGAGGCAGGCTGAGGCTGAGGCAGGCTGAGGCTGAGGCTGACGCAGGCTCAGGCCGAGGCAGGCTGAGGCTGAGGCTGAGGCAGGCTGAGGCTGAGGCAGGCTGAGACTGAGGCTGAGGCAGGCTGAGGCTGAGGCTGATGCAGGCTGAGGCTGAGGCTGAGGCCGAGTCAGGCTGAGGCTGAGGCTGAGGCAAGCCGAGGCATGCTGAGGCTGAGGCTGAAGCTGAGAGGCTGAGGCTGAGGCTGATGCTGAGGCAGGCTGAGGCTGAGACAGGCTGAGGCTGAGGCTGAGGCAGGCTAAGGCTGAGGCCGGCTGAGGCTGAGGCCGAGGCAGGCTCAGGCCGAGACAGGCTGAGGCTGAGACTGAGGCTGAGGCTGAGACTGAGACTGAGGCTGAGGCTGAGGATGAGGCCGAGGCAGGCCGAAACTGAGACAAGGTGAGGCTGAATTGGGGGGGGGAAGGGGGGGGGGAGGGGAGGCTGAGGCAGGCTGAGGCCCAGGCAGGCTGAGGCCGAGGCAGGCTGAGGCTGAGGCTGAGGCAAGCCGAGGCAGGCTGAGGCTGAGGCTGAGGCTGAGGCAGGCTGAGGCTGAGGCTGACGCAGGCTGAGGCCGAGGCAGGCTGAGGCTGAGGCTGAGGCAGGCTGAGGCTGAGGCCGAGGCAAGCTGAGGCTGAAACTGAGGCAAGCCGAGGCAGGCTGGGGCTGAGGCTGAAACTGAGGCAGGCTGAGGCATCCGTGGAATCCATAGGAATCCGTAGGAATCCATAGGAATCCTTAGGAATCCGTAGGCATCCTTAGGAACCCGTAGGCATAGTTCAGCATCCTCAGGAATCCTCAGGAATCCTTAGGATTCCCTAGGAATCCTTAGGAACCCCTAGGAATCAGGATTCCTAAGGATTCCTAAGGTTTCCTATGGATTCCTACGGATGCCTAAGGATGCCTTAGGAATCCCTAGGATTCCATTGGATCCTAAGGCCGTTGCCACTGCGACTGTCATTGCGAATGCGACTGCGACTGCGAGAACAGCAGAATTCTACAACTGGATTCTCACCTGAACCTTAAGGGGAATGCTTCCAAACATGCTTATACACATCGCTGTTAGGTTGCTTTGCCGGGATTTTTTGTTGTAGCGTGGACCCTGGAAGAGGTCTAGACCTCTTTCCCGGACTCGGGTTTTCTGGACAGCGTTTGTGGCAGATGAAGGCTTCCGTGGGGGCCGAAATTCGTCAAAACCCTTGCGTCGTGATTTCTCACAAAGATCGACCTAAACAATGTTTTTCCCCGTGGGGTTCTTGTTTTCTGTGGACACCCCGCGCAGGAACCATAACCAGAACACACCTACATCATCACCCACTCATCACTCATCACTCATCACTCATCATCATCATCATCATCATCATCATCATCATCATCATCATCATCATCATCATCATCATCATCATCATCATTCTCATCATTCTCATCATTCTCATCATTCTCATCATTCTCATCATCATCATCAACGTTATCGGCATGCGATCGCCCACCATCATCATCACCATCAGCGTCATCATCATCATCACTCATCATCATCAGCATAATCCCCTTCGTCACCCACTCACTCACTCATCACTTATCACTCACTCGTCTGTGAATGAATTGCGAAGAAGTCTCAGGCGGGAGCCTCGTCTGTGAGTGAATTGTGAGGATGTCTCAGGCGGGAGCCCCCTCCCTATGGGGCCCGCAAATTATGTTACTAATCCGAACGGTCATCCGCAACGTTTATCTGTCGTCAGTTTTGGGCTCCTCGGGCTTGAATATGGAGGAAGTATCGAGCGGGGGCCTCGTCTGTGAGTGAATTGCGAGGAAGTCTGAAGCGGGAACTCCTCCTTATGGGGCCCGCAGATCATGTTACGAATCCGAGCGGGTCATCCGCAACGTGTAACTGTCGTCATCTTTGGGCTCGTCTGGATTGAATATGGCGGAAGTATCGAGCGGGAGCCTCGTCAGTGAGTGAATTGCGAGGAAGTCTCAGGCGGGAGCCCCTCCTGATGGGACCCGCAGATCATGTTACTGATCCGAGCGGGCCATCCGCAACGTGTAACTGACGTCACTTTTGGGCATTTCAGGCTTGAATATGAAGGAAGTATCGAGCGGGAGCCTCGTCTGTGAGTGAATTGCGAGGACATCTCAAGCGGGAGCCCCCTCCTTATGGGACCCGCAGATCATGTTACGAATCCGAGCGGGTCGTCCGCAACGTGTAAGTGTCGTCACTTTTGGGCTCTTCAGGCTTGAATATGAAGGAAATATCGAGCGGGAACCTCGTCAGTGAGTGAATTGCGAGGACATCTCAGGCGGGAGCCCCTCCTTATGGGGCCCGCAAATCATGTTCGAATCCGAGGCGGGTCATCGGATTTTACTAACTGTCGTCACTTGGGGGTCTGAGGACCGATTTTAGGACCGATTTTGATGACTGAAAGGGAACTCGCACGGAGGTGCCTCGTCCCACTCGCGGCACGATCGGGAACGATGGAGCCTCGTCGTCGGGCACGCATCATGATGGTGGGTCCCGCAGCTACACGAGTCCTCGGGTTTTCGTACCTGTCGTCACTGTTGTGCTCTGAGGAGGAGGAGGAGGGGGAGGCGGAGGAGGAGGAGGAGGAGGACGAGGAACAGGAATTGAGGAGGACGACGGCGGCCGGGCGCAGGGGGAAACCCTTGCGTCCGGGCCGGGGGTGGTAACCCATCCTCGGCCGAAGCGGCGGCCGGGCGCAGGGGTAGCCCCTTGCGTCCGGGCCGGGGGTGATAACCCATCCTCGGCCGAATCGGGGAGCGCGGGCCGCCGGCGTCCCTGCGGAAGGCGCTCCAGGAGTTCGACAAGAGAGCGGTGGGCTCCAGGGCCGAGGCGGAGCAGCTCGCGGCAGAGCTGGGCTTCGTGCCGCCTACCGCCTGAGCGCGGCCGCGATTAGCTCGGTGCCTGCGGGGTTGTCCCAACGGCTTGCTCTCGCGCCCCAGCGGCTCGCGGGGTTGTCCCAACGGCTTCGCGATCTAGCCGTCGGCAAACGCGCGCCTGATTGCCGTGGCGGCGAGGGCGCCGAGGAACATCGATTTGCTTGCCCCGACCATGGGGGCGGGGAGGTGCACATGGAGAAGAAGCAGGCGGAGGATGAGGAGGAGGGAAGGGGTACGTGGAGAGGGTGATGATGAAGAGGAGGTGGAGGAAGAGGAGGAAGAGGAGGGGAAGGGTGATCATAAATAGAAGGAGGAGGAGAGGGAAGAGCAGAAGGCGAGAGGAGAGTGTCCGCCAGAGGGAGGAGGGAAGGGCTAAAGGGAAACTAAACAGATTCTCATGTGGGGTCCTACCGTCGGAGTAATTCGTTTTCGTTTTGTTTTCGTTCTCCCTCGTTTCGGCTTCGTTCCGCCTTTGCTGCAAACCGGCCTCGAAACGAAAACGGTCCACGAACTCGCCAGAAGACCGTTCAGGTCGAATCCTGGAGAAAAGGTGGGGCTCCCCCCTCCCCCCCCCGCAAGCCCAACTGAACATTTCGGTGACCACGTTGTTTCGCCGCCTCCCTTGGAGGCTCGCACGAGGGGTGTGCGACAGGGGGGCTGGCCTCCAGAGAGGGCGGGGGCCCTCCCAGGAGGCAGCGGCCTTCTCGGACGGGCCTGGAGGCTCCCGAGGAGCCCTCCCAAAGCCTTCGGGCCCTCTCTGAGGAGGAGGAGGCGGAGGCGGAGGCGGAGGCGGAGGAGGAGGAGCAGGAGGTGGAGGAGCAGGAGCAGGAGGTGGAGGAGCAGAAGGCCGCCTCCTTCCTACACGCCCCCGCCTTCTCGGACGGCCGCCCGCCTCGCGCCACCCCCTCCCCCGAGATCCGACGCTGCGAACAGTTGCGACCTCGCGAAACACCGCGACGGGAGCCCCGTGCTCCACCTTTCCGCAGCGTTTCTCTGGCCAAGTCGCTCTGTGATGGTCCCTGGGCCCGAAGCTTCGATTAGGGCGTCGACGACATCACTGATTCACCCCAAAATTGGTCTTTCATCGAATCTACGAAAATGCGTAGAATGTTCCACAGATCTACAACCCCATCTACGTCTTTTTCGTAGACCCGATGGAAACAGAAACTCTTGAGTAAACCGATTCTGTGGCCGATCGCCTGCTCTAAAACTTGGCGAAACCGTCAGGGTCGAACAACTTGTAACGCCCGGCTGTGCGCGCCGACAACTCGAGCGCGCCGACAACTCGACGACGAGGACGACAACGAGGAGGAGGAGGAGAAGGAGGAGGAGGACGAGGAGGAGAAGGAGGAGGACGAGGAGGAGGACGAGGAGGAGGAGGAGGAGGAGGAGGAGGACGACGAGGAGGAGGAGGAGGACGAGGACCAGGGCGACGACGAAGAACGCCGAGTGCGACAGCAGCCGGGGCGCGCGCGCGCACCGCAGGTGGCCGCTGCCGCCTCCGACGCTTTTTTTCTCGGCCTCCGCCCGCGGCGCGCGGGGGGCCGCCGCCACGCAGTCTCCGGGCTGCTCCCCGCCGCGGGGGCCTCGGGGCGGCGCGGGGAGGGGGCTCCTCCTCCTGCTCCTGCTGCTCCTCCTTCTCCTCTTACTCCGGGTCCCTCCTCCTTCTCGTCCTCCTCCTCCTGCTCCTCCTGCTCCACCTGCTCCTCCTCCTCTTCTTCCTCCAGCTCCTCCTCCTCCTCCTCCTCCTCCTCCTCCTCCCTCCTCCTCCTCCTCCCCTCTTTTTCTCCTCCACCTCTTTTCCTTCTGACTGTTGGCCAGCGTGAGCCCCCCAAGCAGTGTGTTTCTAGCAATGTGTGTTGTAAGATCTACGTGGTGCAGTCTGTGTGGTGCAATAAAGCTTGTGCCCCCTATGTGGCGCGCTGTATTCTGGCAGTCCATGTGGTGCAGTCTAAGTGGTGCAATCTGCGTGGTGCAATCTATGTGGTGCAATTTATGTGGTGTAATCTATGTGGTGCAACATATGTTGTGCAACCCATGTGGTGCATTTTGTGTTGCCCACTTGATTTGGTGTTATCAGTGCGGCCCAATCTATGTAGTGCAAACAATGTGGTGCAACCTACGTGGTGCAATCTATGTGGTGCAATCCGTGTTGTGACCTTATGTGGTGCAATCCATGTCGTGTGCACTCTATGTGGTATAACTTATGCTGTACAATCCATGTGGTGCAACATATGCGGTGCAAGCTATGTGGTGCAAGCTATGTGGTGCAATGTTTGTGGTGCAATCTATGCAGACCAATCTTTGTGGTGCAATCTATGCGGTGCAATCTACATTGTGCAATCTAGGGCGGCGACGGGGCGGCGACGGCGACAACGTGGCCACCAGACCGACAGGCAGGCCCAGACGACGGGCGGCGACGAGGCGGCGACGGCCACAACATAGCCGCGAGACCGACAGACAAGCCCCGACGACGGGTGGCGACGAGGCGGCGACGGGGCGGCGACGACGGCGACATAGCCGCGAGACCGACAGACAGGCCTAAGTGCGGGCGGCGACGAGGCGGCGACGGCCACAGCAAAGCCGTCGGACCGACAAACAGGCCCAGTTCCTTGGAAAAAGAAGTGGTAACCCCTAAATGCAAACACTTTGGGGAACAACTCTTCCCTGTCACGCCCACAAGCGTGTCGGTAGGGCGGGCTGGGCGTTTCGCCTGGCAACTTCCCCACTGATCCTGCAGCTTGACATTTGCGGCAATCTACAAGATGGAGGGCGGCCCGTTTTCCAAATTGTGGCTCTCGCCTTAGCGCCGCGTGCATTCGTCTTTAGAGATTGCAGCAATTTCAAGGATGGAAAACGGTGGTTTTCCAAATGTGGCTGTCGCCTTCGCGCCGCGCATATCCGTCTTAAACGTTTCATCATATTGAAGGATGGAAAGCGGCCCGTTCTCAGAATGTGGCTCTTCGCCTCAACGCCGCGCACATTCGCCTTGAAAACAATTGCAACAATTTCAAAGGAAGAATGCAGCGTGTTTTCAACATGTTGTTCTCGCTTTAGCGCCGCACACATTCGTTGAACATTGGCGGCAATGTCAAGGATGGAGGGTGACCCGTTTTCAACATGTTGCTCTCGCCTTAGCGCCGTATTTATAGATTCCTTCAAAGCTTGCAGCCGTGTCGTGGATGGAGGACAGTTCTTTTCCAAACTGTGGCTCTCGCCTTGGCGCCGCGCGCATTCGTCGGAAATTGCTGCACCGGTTTAAAGGATTCGTAGGGTTGACGTCCCAAGAATGTTGCCCTGGCATAGTTTAGGATTGTCGGGACGCAATAATCACATGGAGTCGCGGTGTTCCAGTCCGAAGTACGGTGTTCTGGGGGGCACGGCTTAGGACTGTCAGAGCGCAACAGCCAAGTTGATTCGCGGAGGTGACGTCCCAGGGACTGTGTTCGGCAAAACTTAGGATTCTCAAACGGTTGTCTTTCAACGGGGCATTTCCCGCAAGCGAAAGACACTCTTGTAGGGACCTGTGAAGAAGGAACTTGGGAGGGAGGATTCACTGCAACATCGTGAATGCGTCTTGGCTACATCCTCCTCCTCTCTCCTCCCTTCTCCGCCCTCCTCCTCCCTCCTCCTCCCTCTTCCTCCCTCTTCCTCCCTCTTCCTCCCTCTTCCTCCCTCTTCCTCTTCCTCCTGACGCTGACGGTGCTGGCACAGGTATCCAGTCAAGGATGCTTGCATTTTCTCATCCTCCTCCTCCTCCTTCTCCTCCTCCGCTTAGCATTACCTGGCGGCGCTGGCGCGAGCCGTGACGTTACTGGCCCCATCCCCCCTCCTCCTCCTCCTCCTCCTCCTCCTCCTCCTCCTCCTTCTCGTTATCACCTCCCCCTGCCACGCTCGTTCTCGCCAGGAGATGAACAACTGGCTGTTTTCCTTGAGGCACCTCCCAAATTTGGGTGGGAATACATGGGGTCGGAGGATCGCGCTGCATCGTCGACACATCGTCGATGCATCGTCGATGCATCGCCGATGCATCGGCGACGTCGCCGATGCACCGGCGCCATCGGCGTGGAGAACATCGGGGTCCACATCGAGCCTCATCGATGATGCATCGGCGATGCGGCGCGATTCCACGATCCCATCTAAGACTTGGGCGCCCGAGTGGGTGCGGAAAAGATGTGTACAGTGCCCGCCACCAGAAATTGTCCAAGCTGACAGCGGCCGCCGTTGGGCATGCGGCCTTCTGTCTCAAGGGGGCAACGTCTGCGGCGACACCAACGGCGAGACCTGCGCAAAATTAGGGGAACGAAAAATGGCGTAAACGTAAAAACTCGGAGGTCCGCGCGGACTTCTTTGATCGGCGCTGGTCCCCCCTCCCTGGCGCGCGGAGCGCGCCAGCCAGGGGCGGCGCCGGAGGCGCCGCCAGGGGGCCCCAGCGCGGACCCGAGAAATCCGCGCGGACCTCCAAGTTTTATGTTGATGTCATTCTTCGTTCCCCTATTTGTGCCCAATCTTTCCGTACCCATTTCGATCGTCCCGATGGGAGACCCAAAACCTCTTCGATACTTGGTGGTTTTCGAGCCAAGCGATCTGGGCACTTCCGGAACGCCCTGGGTGAGGTGCAGCCGCTGCAATACCTCCCGAAGCTTGGAGAATATAGCCGGGACCTGACGAAAAAAGTTCGAAAACCTCAAACCTCGAGCCCATCCCCCCCCTAGCGTTGCCCCTGAGGACCCCCTGCCCGCTCGGCATGCAGTCAACCTGTATTATAAGGACGCACGATAGGGATGCAAGGGCCTTGGAAGGCCATGCCCACACTTTTCGGGCGGGGCGCGGCCAGCGAAAGCGGCCGAGGATGGGCTGAAGGGGAAGGATGCAAGGGTAATCTTTGAGCCTGTTCCTCCATTATTCGCGATAACGAGCGTGATCGGGGGAGGGGTGGGGAGCCCGTCCCCCCCGATGACATCACGGCGGGGGGGGCCGCCGGAAATCTCATGAAACCCGTCAAGAATCCGTCGGAAATCTTTGCAGATACGGGCAGAACAGCGTGACTTGATCCGGGGGGGGAGGGAGGGAGGGAGGGAGGGAGGGCCGATCACGGCCGTTATCGCCCAGACCTGAGAGAATCGAGCTCGTCATCGGGGATGGACAGTACCCCCTTTGGCAATGCGTAGTTTCATGAAGACGACCTCGGGCCCAAACCTGGCGGGCGCAGGCCTGGAGCATGACGGCCGCGGCGCCCTCTCGAGAACCGAACACGGACAATTCCCCAGTCGGCGTGCCAGTGGGGGGGTCCCGTCCAGGAGGAGGAGGAGGAGGAGGAGGAGGAGGAGGAGGAGGAGGAGGAGGAGGAGGAGGAGGAGGGAGGAGGAGGAGGAGGGAGGAGGAGGAGGAGGAGGAGGACCCCCGGGCTCAGCCGTGCCGTGCGCGCTGGCTGTGGCGCGCCTCGCAGGCGCGCCACGCGGTACCTCGCGTGCTCCACCAGCGGGGCCCCGGGCTCGGAGGCGGGCACCTCGAGCTCCTCCTCGCGCGGGGGCGGCCCGCCGCCCCCGCGCGCAGCGGGGGGGCGGAGACGCTGCGGACTGCACGAGACGACGCCTGGACGAGGACGAGTCAGAGGCCTCCCAGGTGGGGTCGGAGGGTCGCGCGCGCCTCGCCGATGCACCGGCGATGCATCGGCGAGGTATCGTCCACGTGGGCGATGCAGCGGCGACGGCGACGTGGAGCAAGTCGGGCGTTTATTTCGAGCCGCATCGCTGCTGCATCGTCGATGCGGTACGATCCTCCGACCCCATCTGCTCCGACCCGATCCAGGAGGCCTAGATAAAGTCGGAGAAGGATACATAGAAGATCTCTGAGGTCAGGGCGGCTCTGGAAGATGTCTCGGGCGCCGCGGCCTTCTCAGAACGATCCGGAACGCTCTCAGAGCGTTCCCAAACGCTCTGTAACGGATGTATGCTCGTCCTGGCCCCGTTCGACTACAGCCGTCGTGCTACCGTAGTCGGGGGGGACGAAAGGGTAGGATAACAAAGGGCAGGGTAGATAGTCGACTCACACAGCTGTTGTTCCTGGCGCTCCCCCCTACCCCCCCGTGGAGTGGAAATCTGCATCTATCTACCGATGATTTTTCTCACGCTCTGACAAAGTCCTTTTCGAAAGGTAGCCTTGTTAAGTTTTGAAATGTCTTCCTTGCAAGCTCAACAAATTCGCATTCAAATTCAATCGAAGTCCTCTGAACCTGGGGTATGCTCCAATCTTAAATAATGCTGATGGGTTCCTATCCAAACCGGATCCCACCAGCCCTTTATAGCGGAGTAGTTTAAGGAGTTTCCTCTTCCAACCCCCTTCTTCCCCTTCGGGGCAGCTCATCACTGTTCCTCATTAGTAAACACCCCCTCCCCCAGGCGACAGGCAGCCAACCAAGACCAATGAGACCCGCCCCGTCATCCCTGCCAAAAGGTTATATAGCCAGATTCCAGTATCCCCAAACAGCGTTTCTTGAGCCGAAATGGTTCCTAAAAATGTTCGCGCGTTCTCCTGCTTCTGATCCGCCTGCGCCTTCGGCGTCGTCGTCTAGCTTTTCGTGATCGTCGTTGTCGTCCTCCTCCCCCGCATCCACGTAATTCTCCTTCTCGCCCTCGCCCTCGCCCTCCCACTACACCTCATTCTCATCTCCCTTCTCCCTCCCCCCCCTCACGCTCCTCCTCCTCCTCCTCCTTCTTCTTCTTCTTCTTCTCCGCCTCCTCGTCCTCCTCGTCCTCCTCCTGCCTTCCTCCTCCTCCTCCTCCTCCTCCCTTCCTCCTCCTCCTCCTCCTCCTCCTCCTCCTCCTCCTCCCAAAAAGACGGGGCTGAAAGCATCGTGCCGTCGGAGGGCCGGGCCCTTGGGGCTCCTGGACGAGCCCCAGCCGCCTGGCAACCTCCTCCAGCACGCGCTGCTCCTGCCGCCCGCTGCGCACCTGGCGGCCCGACGTCTCCGTTCGGGGGGGGGGGGGGGTCTCTGGCGGCAGCGCCGCCAGCTGCGCGCTCGTGCAAGCCACCTGGCTTCGCGCACCGCGTCCCGCGATTCGTGACGCTCGGTTGCCTTCGCGCTCTCGCCGCCGCCGCCCTGGAGACGGGCTTCTCCAACCCAAGGCGCGATGCGCGAGGAGCGATTCGCTTCAGGTCGGGCTTGTCCTCGTACAGGCGCAGTCTCGAGGAAAAGTTGACAATGGTCAAACAGCATCCCGAAATGGTCAAACAATACTCGAAACATCGTCCCCATACTATTTTTGTTGGACAATTCTTGAATATTCGTCCTGCAGAGGGGCAGGCCCGACTTACAACTCATTCGCTTCGCGCTCTGGAGGGTTATTTCTAGCTTGCCGGCCCCGCTTGAAGCCCTCCCCCCCTCCCTCTCCGGCCGACCTCTCCTCCGTCCGATCTCCATGCTCGGAAGCTCGCCGACGTTGGTGCTCCCGCCTCGCTCCAGAGATCAAGCGTGAGCGTTTGGACTGCTTCAGTCTTCGGCCGCAGACTTTCGGCAGGCAATGCGATCTCGCGTCTCGTATGCTTGATGTCTTCAGTCCCAGCTCGCCGTTCTCGCGGAGCCAGTGCTGGCTCGATTGGTACCTTGGTGTGCTGATGCAGTGACGCCAAACAAAAACCATACCCCCGAGCTCAGGAGAGGCCTCCTACATCCGACAGGCTCAGCAAATCCACTCCTGGGTATGCTGCGGCACAATCTGGACCCCCCTCAGAATGTCCTGCAAACTCGGAAGACGACGACGTCGAACGACGTCGAACGACGACGAGCGACGGACGGCGATGACGACAACGACGAACGACGACGAACGACGACGACGGACGACGGACGATGCCGACGCCGACGGCGACGGCGACGGCGACGACGACACGGGAGCGTGTTTTTATTTTCCGCGATCACGGCCGTTACGGGCACCGGCCTTCCCCTTCCTCCCCCTGGGAACGTTACGACCCGTGCTGACCTCCGCATTGGCTTGGGCTGTTCCCAGACATCCCCAAACGGCGCCAACGCGAAGCGTGACGTTGACGGCTCCCCGCTCCCCTCTCACCCCCGGGGAACGCCCGTTATCGCCAGACGAGCTCGTTCCACTACTCGCAAAATAATTACTCGCAAATGGCCTGGATCCGCCGCGGGGGATTGACAATCCATTACGTAGAGGAAGACCTGTTGTTTTTTTCGGCACTTTGCGAGTAGTGGAACGCGCTCGGTGATACGTATTCCTTAACGAAGCGTGACGTTCACGGCTCCCCACTCCCCTCTCCCCCCCGGGGCACTCCCGTTATCGTCCAAGAATTGGGGGCGCGCAAACATGGATTAGCGATCCATGGATTTGGCGCGCGGTCGCCAAGGTGCCCTCCCCAAAGCGCGGCTGGAGCCGCCTCGTTCAGCAGCGGAAACCCGCGGTTTCCCATGGGAAAGGGACACGTCGCTCATCCACGCCCCCCTGATCCAGGTTTGCGATCGCCTGAAAGAACCTGCCGACCCCCGCTTGCCGGGGGTCAAAAGGCGTGCAAGACATTTGGCTGTCCCACTGCCCCTGTCCCCCTCCCCCAGGGGTCCGAAATCGGATTCGAGGGGGGGTCGGCGAGCTCCCCAAGGCTTCCGGAGCCTCCGACGAGCCTCAAGATGACCCGAGAGAGCCCAAACAGAGCGCCAACACAGCCCAAGAGAGCGTCGAGACGGCCCAAGGTCGTCCCAAGACGGTCCAAGATGGCTTCGCGACGGCCCACGCGCCTCCAAGACGGCCCAATAGTGCTCCCAGATGACCGCCGAGAGGGCCTCAAGAGGCGAACATCGTTCCACTCCATTCGGGAAACGTGCATTTTTAGCAAATTCACCTTTTTCGTCTTGGCAGCGTCCAAGACGGCCCAAGGAGCCCCCAAGATCGTCCCAACAGGGCCCATGAGGTCTCCAAGGGGGCCCCCAAGACAGCCCAAGGGGGCCCCAAGACGGCCGCAGAGGCCCCCGGGAAGGAACAAGAGAGACCCAAGAGGGCCCTAAGAGGGGCCCAAGAGGGAGGATACGAACTGACATTTCGAGCCTTTCTCTCCAAGATTACCCCCAGAGCCCCCCTGACGCGCCGAGACGCCCACAGGAGGTCCCAATAGGCTCCCAGGGGGTCTCCAAGAAGCCCCCAGGAGGCCTCCAAGGAGGCCCAAAGGACCCCAGATGCCCCCAAAGAGCCCTCTAAGAGGCCCCTGAGAGGCATCCCACGAGCCCCTGAAATGCATCCCAGAAGCTCCCGACCCACTAGATAACTTCAAAGATCGTCGAAACCACTCGCTCCTTCTGGGGGGCCAACGAAGCGGCGTAAGCCCCTTGAAAATGGTCCAAGCGAAGGACCCAAACATATGCAACCGTGATGAACGCAATGGTGAATACCGTCCTCTGTGGAGCTCCCTGTGGGGCCACGAACTGTGTGAGTGGTGCGCCGAAATGGGGATGGAACTGCACGCGAACTTTGCCACTGAAGCTTTCGGTGGAGCTCCCCACGGGGCCACGAACCGTGTGAGGGATGCGCCGAAATGGGGGTGGAACTGCATGCGAACTTTGCCACTGACGCCTTCGGTGGAGCTCCCTATGGGGCCACGAACCGCGTGAGGGTTGCGCCGACATGGGGGTGGAACTGCATGCGAACTTCGCCACTGGGGCCTTCGGTGGAGCTCCCCATGGGGCCACGAGCCGCTTGAGGGGTGCACCGAAATAGGGGTGGAACTGCATGCGAACTTCGCCACTGGGGCCTTCGGTGGAGCTCCCCATGGGGCCACCAACCGTCTGAGGGGTGCGCCGAAATGGCAGTGGGTGGACCTGCATGCGAACTTTGCCACTGGGGCCTTCAATGGATCTCGCTATGGGGCCACGAACCGTGTGAGCGGTGTGCCGAAATGGGGGTGGAACTGTTTGCGAACTTTGCCGCTGGGGCATTCGGTGGATCGGTAGCGTCTGTATGGGGCCACGAACCGCGTGAGAAATGTGCGCCGACATGGGGGTGGAACTGCATGCGAACTTCGCCACTGGGGCCTTCGGTGGAGCTCCCCATGGGGCCACGAGCCGCTTGAGGGGTGCGCCGAAATGGGGGTGGAACTGTATGCGAACTTCGCCACTGGGGCCTGGTGCCTTCGGTGGAGCTCCCCATGGGGCCACGAACCGCGTGAGGGGGGCGCCGAAACGAGAAAGGAGGAGGAGTCGCGGCGCGCTGTCTCTTCAAAACGAAGATCCAACACCATATGATGGTTGGGAGAAAACGCTCTCCACGAGGGGGCGGCCCTGGCGGCATGCCGAAGGCCGAGCCCCGCCCTCCTAAGACGATCGCAAGAGCCAAACAACATCGGTCTGATACAATTCGGACATCTCTGGGAATCGGCGGGCTTGGACGACGTATCGGGCGCCGCGGCCGTTTCAGAGCGTTCAGGAACGCTCTGAGAGCTCTGGAACGATTTAACACGATTCGAGGCCTGCCTGAGCCCCCTTTGGGCGGCGCGCCTTGGGGGGGAAGTGAGAAGGGGCAGGCCTTCTCAGAAAACTCGGACATTCCCCGGCCTTCTGAGACATCTTCTGAGTCCCCTCTGGTGATACGGACAACTTCTCAGCCTTCGCCCGGGCTTCTGCGGAGCCCGCCGCCTTCTGAGAAGGCCTTCTCATTCTTGTCCCCCGCTCGCCGCCAAAGAACGCTCCGGCATGGTCGTACCTCGACTCGGAAGCCTGGCAAGGGCTGCTAAATCCGTAGCTGCTAAAATCGACTTCCAAGAAATTGTCTTCGTCCTTCCGGGAAGATGCCCGTTGACCGTTTCGCGTGCCGCGCCTCCTTCCGGGAAGCTGTTCTTTCCTTCCGGGAGGGCCGTTTTAGCAGCCACGGTTTTAGCAGTCCTCGCCCAGCTTTCGATCGGCTCGAGGCCTGCCGGACCGCCAGAGACAACGCCCTGCATCTCCTCTCCTTTGTTCCTCCTCCCTCCTCCCTCCCCCTCCTCCTCCTGCTCCTCCTCCTCCTCCTCCTCCTCCTCCTCCTCCTCCTCCCTCCTCCCGTCACTCCTCACTTTGGCACACCCCTCACACATTTCGTAGCACCATAGAAAGCGCGA